GCACGTATTGCGCTGATACGATCGTGACAACGTAATAATAGATTTCCACATCCAAGACAGGGTCGATGGGTTCTTTCCTCGTCTCTTTAAATGCCGCGAATGGCAATCTTTATCCAATCTGTTCTCACGATCGGCATTTTGCACGCTGTTTAGATACGATCCTCGACACGTATGGCTTCCACCCGGAAGCCGGAGGCACGAGCCGATTTTTCGACACGTTTCGCGAACGTTGACAGCGATCCATTACACCTGTGCTAATTGCGTCTCGCGAGAAGCGCCTAATCAACGAGCGAGAGTAGAAAGTACAGATCGTTGCGCGTGAAACGAACGTAGAAAAAGGGAGTCTCCTTGTATGAATTAGCAATCATAGAAAAAAAAATCAACGCCGAGATCATTCTTGATCATCTGCGATGATCACCTACGACGATCTCTCTCATGATGGAGTAAAATAATTTCACTGTTGTAGCGATACTACACCGTTGCTACTTTGTGTGTTCGTTACGACAGCGATGAAATTTAGTTGCTACAACCAAATGATTATTAGTAAATTAGTATTAGAGTAAATTATTCGTAATTAGAGCGAAAACAATTTTGTTGTCGGGATAGAAAATCTTCTGTGCAATTTTGTTCCTAGGATAGGTTAATTTGCTATTAGGACAAAATAGTGTTTCTCTCCCACATTCGTTAATTTAATTTATCTGATTAATTTATTCTCACAGCAAGACAATTTGTAGATTCAGCAAAATAATCCAGCGAATGGCAATTAGTATTCTTAACAGATCGTTTTCCCATAACTGACAGATTTTATTGCCGTAGCGTAAAATTTGCAAGTTATTTTTCTCCGTGTGATGAAAAGTAAATGGCCGTGTAATTTACATACAAGATGATAAAGAGAGATTTGGTTTTTCTGCCTTGCGGTGTGGATATGTGATATCGCTGTTGACGAGACGCTTTCGGAATTCGATGATCAGCGCGCTAGCCGAACATCTAATGCAAGATATTTGATTTCATTAAGGGGATTCGCGCGCACCTTCGCTCACACTGTTCAATACCGATCCAATTAAAAGCAAATGGTTTTTGAACCAGGTCTCTATTACTTCATTGGCTTCGCCACTGTGCGATGAGCGCTTTCACGAGAGAGCGGAAATTGCGAAATTTGCGTTAACTCACAGCAAACGCAGATACACGCCGGTCTTTTACGGGGAAGCGTCTCGCCCGTAATGGTATTGATAATTATCGGATCACGAAATTAGCGGACGGGTCATTACGCGATCTTCTCGATTTATCGCGGCACTCGTTAAGATATTTACGCACCGTGAACGCATCTTGCTCGATCGTAATCTGCGCAAACATTCATCTCTCGCAAGACCGCGCGTTTCTTTTCGCTGAATCTCACTTTTTTCGCAATGTCTTTGATAATTAGCAAGCGTCGGCAAACGAATCTGCGAATCTGCCGGAATTGTAGTTATGACCGTGTGAAGTAATTTCACATCTGGTTAAGTGGCTGAGGAATCAAATGGCATTCTTAAAAATTCGTTGAAACTTACACTATATAGAGATTTTAATATAACTTAATTATTTTCAAATTCAAATTCAAATAAGAATTTTAAAATTATTGACCATTTTGTTTTGAAAATATAGCCATAGAAAATTTATAACATATAATAATACCCGCGATGTATGCACATATTGAAATATTTATATATCACTTTTTATTACGTGTGCACTTCTATTAGCTCAGCTGACCTATAAATAAAGCATTAATAAAAAAAAAAAAATATACATATATATATTATATATTGCCATTTTTGTAATATTATGTACATGTATTTGTCTTAATTTCGCTTAAAATTAATATTTATTATTTAGGTCGTTAAATGAAATTATTTTTTTTCTGTAAATAATAAACTTATGTAGGGGCTTTATAATATCGTCGCTAAAAATCCGGCATTCTAAGATACAACTACCTTAAAACAAAGACTTAACGCACACACGACAGTATCAATCTAAAATTATTGTACGGACGTGAGCTAAAACCAGATAAGATTGGCGATCATCACTTGAACGTTTTTTTTCCGCGATCGAACGAACACGCAAAATTCGCAATGACATTTCGCTCTCGGCTTACTTACGATTTCTCAGCGAAGAAAGTCCGCCAACTTCCCTTTCGAAGCTGTACGTGTATGCGCGAGCTGCAAACAGGGTCAAGCCGATGAAAGTAAATAATAATACGCGCGAGCAAATATCGGCGTCCTTACTTATGCCGATTTGCATAAGCAAGCGCTACCCTGCGTGCGAATTTTATAACGGGCGTCAATAAATTCCATCCTCGACCGATCGACATCCTTGGCGAGAGGACCTTTTCTCCCGCGTCTAGAATACCAGTGCTACCAGTTCTCTCTTACGGGATTAGAAGATTGCTCCTTCATCAGGACACCGCAGCCTTTTAATGCCTCCTGTTGTTCCTGGTTGAGTTTGCGGGGAATTACACGCGGCTACCCACTCGATTGTCTCGTCCCATTGTCGCGATCGCACTCCGTTAATGTCACCGTACAATGTTCCGCGTGATTCGTACCCTTGGAGGAACTTTTCTCGCCCGAACAAAGAGACCGGCAACGTATGAATGGCCAGACCTTTCTAACATTTTCCTCTTTGCCACGTTCACTCGATTTGCGCCGCATTATGCTAACAATGTGAGTAATGTGACCTCTCCCCGAAGAGGTTTATTTCTTGTATTTATCGTAAATGTCAAATTTGCTGATTAAATCGCAACGCAAGAAAAAAAAGTTTGGTTGAACTTACCCAACAATAAACGAATCAAACGCGTGTTGCTTGAAGGAAACGGAATTTCTGCTTCTTATAAACCAAATTCGGTTTTTATAGCTAGAAATTCTGTTTCCTGCGATGAAAACGCACTTGCTTTGTTCATCGTCGGGAAGAAAGTGCTAGATTCAAATAAATAATTACTCCAAAACTCCTTAGGAGATTTTCAATACTTAAATTAAGTAAATTTTACTTGCATCAAGTTAATATTTTAATTGGATGATTTATTGGGAAAATATTTTATTCGAATCGAGTAAATTTTACTCGATCCAGGTGAAAATTTGCTAAGGAGTAATTATCTACTTGAATCTAACACTTTTTTTTTTCCTGCGTAGCATACGATTATACTCGATAAGTAAATCTCCCGCAAACGTACGTCGTTAAACTCTCCTTTTACCGTTTCCAAGTTTCGCAAGGAAAGTCTCGCGGAAGGAAAAAAATGGCGGGATTCTATCACGGAGGAGCGGCGATACCGACGAGCTTCGTAGACGAGCGTTTTCACGCTACCGCAAATAATATGCTCTGGGGGAGCCGCGTGACGCAAGATGCACAATAAAACTTTTTGCCGGTCGCCGTCGCTCGCCATTAGAGCGAACGGTACCGTTCTGCATGAAAGCGCGGCAACGGCATCGTCGTAAATGGTTGCGCACCGTTGTAAGTCACCTGACGGCGATGAGAAGCGGCGAAAGGGACGAGCACGAGAGCGTCATCATCATTCGCTCGTTCCAGCATCTCGGCTGTGGGTTACGTGAGAATGCAGTGCGTACCCACTGACCGGCTTCACGTAACGTTCGGCGGCAGGTACGGATTTACGCTTCATTACGGCTCACGCGTCACTCTCGAGACGTGATAAGAAAAGAGATTACCTTTCTCTTATCCGTCGCTTTTCATCGAGGGAAGGATATAATTCTTCCTCCAGAAAAAGAAATATAAAAGTTCCTTCGATAATAAATTAACGAAACCAGTGACTTTTCTCCTTTAACCGTCGCTTTTTGTCGAGAAAGGGTTACACCTCTTTCTTGACAAAAAAAAAGGATATAAGAGCACCTTCGATAACGCAATTAACGAAATCAACGACTCGATAATATTTGATTTAAGATAACTTCTGGGTATAATTAAATGTCGGTTTCACATCTTCTGGTGTATAATTGCTGGGTTTTACTTATAACCAGATGTGCGCGCACGAATTCCACGTATTTGTTTAATTAGACCTTGAGATTTGTCGTCGAATTCGTTTGTTACGAGCTCTATACGCAACGCCCTGCATTAACATTCCGCACGAAAGTGCCGCTCTAATTTTAGCCCAACAAACGCGCCCGTGTGCTCCGCCACGCGAGCGCCCCCTCCTCCCTCCTCCCTTGCTCGCAGTAAGATAAAAGGAGAACAATTTAATTAAGCAAAAAGCCGTGCGGCCACGTAAGCGGCCGCTTAATTAAGATACCGACCGTCGACCCGTTATAACGTTCGTACACGGGCGAATGGAGAAGCCACGGCCTCGAAAAGTTGTACACCGGTGAAAATGGCGTATGACTTACCGCAGCTGGTCACTGTGCCGAGAGGAAAGCCGGAGAGACGAGATCACCGGTTATGCAAAAGGCGAAAACGGTCCCTCGGCCACGTGTGCGCGCGTGACCGATGCAATGTCATCGAACTTATATAACGCGTCGCTCCTCTTTTCCAATTACGCGCGCCTCTAAACGTCACGGGCATGGACCCTCGATTTCCCCTACGTCGCCGTCTTTCATAACCGTTGGCAAATTTTCGGGCGACGCACCGCGAAAATGCTCGAACATTCTTGCGGGAGAAACGTTTCGTTATTGCCCCCTCATCCGAAAGCAACTAACCGTTGAACTTCCCCCTCTCACCTACGCGCAAAAAGTACTACCACATGCCGACTAAGTCGTCCGGGAACCGGCCGTCTCTCGGAGGAGGCAGAGCGAGGTCCTCTCCACGCACTCGAGACGGAGAGATTCCGGCGAGAGGCGCGACCCGCGCGGAATTCCTCCTCGCGAGGGATGGCCCGCAGCGGCAAACGCGGATAGGCGCAGGTGAGAGGGCCCCGTGAGAGAAGAAAGGTAAGAGGTCTCACGAGGAGCCGGGGATCCCTCCACTGCGCCGGCGAGGAGACGCGACGACGAGCGCCCGCTCGAGAGGAAGAGCCTGAGTCGAGCCGAGGTGATCGCGCCGAGGCGCAGTGCATCCGTCGCTTTTCACGGTGGACGAACGTCGTCGGGGCCCGGCCGTCCGCACGCCGCCCGTGCAACGCCGGACAAAATGCCGATTAGCTTGCGTACTCTGTGTAAGTGTCCTCTCCACGTGAGAGCCCAGCTCCGTTAGCACACGCACGTGGGAACCCGGGTCGCGCGAATCCTCCGGAGAGCCCGCGGCGACCGACCGCTATTGTGCTGGCCGTCGCTCGCACACGTGTGACAGTGATCGCCCTCTCGTTCGTTAGTCTACGGCCGCAGGTGAGACCGACGAGCTCATTGATGCGTCGATCGAGCTGTTTCCACCGTCCACCGGGAGAACCGAGTCGTTTCTTTTTATCTCTCGTATCACGCCGGATCGTGAGTCGGTTAACTCATCTGTGGGAACTCGCTGACTCGGTGCCGAGGATGGTTCGCGGAGGGTCTCCGCGAGCGCCGCTCCGTGATGCGAGATCGTGATGTAGCGTCTCGAGGTACCCCTGTTCTGTGAAACGTAGATCGATTTCAACGCAAGTGGTGGTTCTCTGAGATTGTGGGGGGACGGTCGGTTATTTATTTGCTAGTTTCTCGATCCCGGCAAAAGTACTTCACACTCAGAGGAATTCGAGGGACTAATTGAAGCATCTCCAGTGTCGCGACACCGAAGAGAGTTTTCGGAAGTTTGATGAAATGTAGATCGGTTTACGGAGAGTGGGGATTCGCCGAGATCGTGAGACGGGAGAGGATTGGTAATTTATTTTCAGTACTTTGTTACGTCATAATTGGAGGGATTCTCAGGATAAATCTAAGCGTCTCGGCGTCGTGATGATGAAGAGAGAGTCTGAAGTTTTATGAAGTATAGATCGATTTAAAGATACGTAAGTAATTCATTGAGATTGTGGAATGAGGAACGGTTGGTAATTTATCAAGTACTTTGTCAGTTTCGAGAATGTTACTTCATAATTGGAGGAATTTGAAAAGTGAATCTAAGAGTCTGCGGCGTCGCGATATTGAAGAGAATCTGAAGTTTTATGAAATATTGGTCGATTTATTTGTAGACACAAGTGCTGATTCATTGTGAGATTGTGGAACGGGAGATGATTAGTAATTTATTTGAGTTGGTACACTGAGCTTATTCTCGAATTCGGCATACGTCATAGTCGAAGGGAAAATTTAAGCATCTTCAACGTCGCGACGCTGAAGCGAGGACGAATAGTTCTATAAAACATCTAGTGAACACCAACTAACGATAAAATTACAATAATGTTGTAGTTTCCCGCTGAATAACGTAAATGTTATGTACATGTTATATTACACTTACATTATTGGATGGAAAATTATAACATTCATATAATGTTACTATTAATTAGTGTTTACTGTCCATAGATCGATTTAGACACAAATAGTGATCGATTGAGATCGTGAAGCGGGAGACGATTGGCAATGTATTTGAGGTATTTGATTAATTTCAGCTGTTTCATAACTGAAGGAATTATAAGAACAGATCCAAGCGTCTTCGTCATAACGTAAGAGAATCATCGTCGTACCGAAGAGAGTCCGTAGTATTTCGAAACGTTCGGTATTGCTGCGATCTTTGAATCTTCGCACGCATGCAACCGCATTCCGACTCCCGATGACATATGGGAAAAACCTTTCTCGCTTTCTCTATCAATACGAAAACATATTCAGCGATATGTTACGTACTGTACGTCAAAGTCGCAATTTACCGTACGACCGTTTCGGATCAAACGGCATAGTGGAGATAATATCGCTGTTTTCCAGCAGTTTCTTTGCGTGCATAGCTCGCGTTAAGTATTCAAATGAACTATCGAAATCGAAAATCATACATTCACGCACGACACAACGTACACGTGCGTAAAATAAACTGTCATTACCGCGAATGGATATACCAATTACCGAGCACGGTGACTCGAAGCTGATAGTCGCGTAAAAACTAAAGTCGTGGAATATTTATGCGTCAATCTGTGAGGATTCTGCTTGTACTCTTCTCCGATACATAATGTACATGCCAAGATTACGCAAAAGGCAATCAGGTAGCCTCGCGAATTCTCGTCAGTTAACGTCAGTAGCGTTTATTTAATCAATCATCAGCGATCGAGTTATAATCAAGCGAGCCACCTGTCCGCGTCGTGTCCGCGACGGTCCATTCATGCAATCGCGAGCGGGGAACATTTGCGCAATACTGAAAAAAACGACGCGGTGACGCGCGCTCATAAATTAGATCAACTCGATCTCACGATGTTCTATCTTTGGCTCACGAAGCGCTATGTATCGAGATTATAACGTTTCTCCTTCTTTTCTGTCATTATTTCGACAAACCGACGCGTCGGACGCGCAATTTGTAAAGGCACCGTGCAAACCGCGACGATTGCCGTAAATAATCTCATTGCTGTCGTGTGAAACACGTCGACGTTTTGATTTAATGCTGTTGGACATGCTCGACGGGTTGATACTTCCTCTTGTACGGATTCGCCTGCTGTTCCTGCTCGAGTGTCCCGCGAATTTATGACGATTTCTCGATCTCGCGTCAGCCGAAAAACGCGAAATTACGCAGCAATTGATGCCTCCGCTGGAACAGTATGCTTTTATTCACCCTACTTCGCCACTCGTGGATTAAACTGACGCGAGCGAAAAATCATGATACCATAATTACGTAATTGTTGCATAATATATAATTGTAGCATCTTGAATTGCATAATTGTTGCATAATACATAATTGTTGCATCTTGAAACGATTGCACATGTAAACATGGAAATCTCATCTTGAAACATGCGAAATTTTTTTATTTCTTTGTTGAATCAATGCATCATTTCGTTATACCTTAAATTGTTTATTAAAAAAAAAAAGATTATCTAATAAACAAATAATAAAAAAGTTATCTATTTTATAAATAATTTATTTATTTAAAAAAAATAAAAGTAATTGGTACAATTTCTTTAAATTTACTTTTTGTACATTCAGAACTATAATATCTACACAGGATGCGCACATCTGTAGATACTTAAACAAGAGCATATCAGAAAAACTACCTGGTCTCGCAGGCTCAGTGTACCAAACTGAGCAGCAAAATAAAAATAAGTGTGCTAACAAAGGGTTAATATTCTGACGAATTGACAAAGTGGAAAGACACAAGGAAACGAGGGATATTAATTTTGTATTCGACCGGGGGGTGGCGTGTTATCATGTCAGGAATATTCAGAAATCGAATGTTGAACGTGAAAAGGATCGGAGCTGGGCGATAAACATCGGCTTTATTGTTCCAGAGAAACGGCTTCTTAACGTGGCTCTTCATTAGTTCCGCAATGGTCCTTGGTCCCCCGAATACCAGTTTCTAGATATTTGTCTTGCGGATGCCGCATAAAAAGACACCGTCAGCCACCCGCCAAATTGGCCGGTCGGAACTGGTTTAAGTGGCACCGTGAAATCCGATTTGTCTCGGACTTCAGTCCCGCGAATATTCAAAGAACGCGCTCGCGAGGGGACACTTTCTCGCCGGCGGAAATTCCCGCTGCTAATTATTCGGCCCGTTCTGCCGTAAACTCGGCATTTTTTCCCGAGGAGGTCGCGCTCCTCGTCCCGCATGAGGAAAAGCGGCGCGCTTTCCGCGTCTGATCCGATCGTTAGATCGACGGCACGGTGAGAAAAATCATTCACGTGCGCGATTTCACGCGAAGATCGGCCGGCTTGTAGCACCGAATAAGCCTCGCTCTATCACGACGGTCTCCGTCGTCCTCGTGGCCTTTGGGCCATTTTAATGCCATTGACGACGGTGAAAATGGCAGCGACAATGGCGAAGCACGTGTGCCCGAGAACATCACTTCGAAGTTAATCGACCGATTGGCCTTTCGAAGGATTTTGCGTATTCAATTACGGCCGTATGTGTAGTCACGTGGAGACTACGTCCTCGGCAACTCCTCCACGGCGGACGGATCACGAGGCGTTATCAAAGCTGTGCATTGTAACTAACATCTTGACTGGCCGGAGATGCCATAATTGCTACTCTCCAGAGCGCGCTTCGAGTCATTCAAAGAAAGTTTTCCCTACGAACGATTATAACTTGACGGAAAGAAAAAAAAAAAGATTTGAAGACAGTGTTGGTAGTGTACATTCAATGTACACTATCACTTATGTAAGTTATGTTGCGAAGCGGACTCCTCTTAATCAGAGCTAATTCCTTTATCGAGTGCGCTTGGAAATTAAAGTCGACGTTAATCCTCTCAGTGCTGTCGGGAGAAACGTCGGGCAGAGGTAGGATGGATAATGTTGGAGTCTCGCGGCCGGGAAAACGCGGCTTCACCGTCATCGCTCGAACGGTCAACGAGAGCCCCCGCGAATCCTCTTACATAACATATTGACAATTATCTCGCTCTGCGCTCTTCGAAATGTCACTAACTGAACGCGCGGCGTCTCCTTTTCAGGGGAAAACCTTCGAGGAGTCGCGAGAAACGCGAGACTTCGCAACCGCGATAATAACACCGTCCAACGCACCTCCTTGCAGATCGTCTCAAGCGCGAATTCTGAAGGAGTTATGAAGGAGGAACTTATTTCGCAGCGAGATAAAATCTAACCGGCGAGACTCGTGTTCCCGCTTTTCTTGTGGAAGGCTCTTCGGGGTCGATCGCTCCGTTGTAGTCGTAACGGCTGCGATCGTTCATGGTCATCGAGGATTAAGAGCTACCTTGCCTAATCGATCGTAGCCGAATCGAATTCAAGCGCGACTTCGTAAAAGCGCGCGAAGATGGCCCGCTCCGGGCGACCTTTCACGCCAGACTCGTCCGATTGCGAAACCGAAATCGAACGATATTTAGCGAGCGTCGCAATCACGGGCTATTCAAGGATCGCGAACCGAGGAGTCAGAATCCGACGGTCTCATTGTCCCTGTGAAATCCAAAAGCCAGCCCTGCGTAGGTGGATGGTTTCACCAAATCCTACATTCTTTCGTATTTTTCAAACAGATACAACTCTTCATTCGAAGACATCGTTCGTTCCATCGAATATCTCGTCATGAAAATTATTCTTGAATAACACGGATATATCTTAACTGGAACTATGTAGAATTTTTTCGTGTAGGAACGAGTTCATCTTCACGTAAGATTATATATTCTTGCTTAATGTGAGAATACGAGCCTTGAGCTTAGATTAATTTCTTTCTCTGTATAGAAGTAAATCAAAACTTACATAAGTCTAATCTATCCTATACACATTGCACAATGTCTGAATAAAAATGTGGCAGTGGCCGACTATTGTTACCAGTAGTAGTACTGGTCTCACATAACCGCTTTGTTTCCGTTAAATTTTACGCCAGAAATTTTCCACGTGAATGCGTGTCTACGTACGTTAGATCTGCGCGTGTTGAAAGCCGACTTGATCGAGAAAGCCTTTCTCGTTCCGTTAAAATCTTCCGTAATATTTTTTGCGACATTTACTAAAAGTTTTCCACAAGGCGTGGGGAATTTAGAAGGGAATGATTAATATGAAAAATATTATTTATGTAGGATGAAATGGCAGTTCAACGTGGTAGGTGGCTATTGTACGATACCCCACGCGCGTTGAAAGTCTGGAAAATAAATCCGGCACGCGCGTTAAACCGTCGGAACAATTTTATCCTACCGCTGGATTGAAATTGTCGCGCTCAAAATCCAGCGACGGCTCTCGCTAGCTTATCTTCCTCGCCGATTGCCTTCCTTCTCCTGTTATCGAAATCCTTCGCATCCTTTTGAAGACGTACGTCCTATCGTCGGCTTATGAAGCGAGCTCTCGCTTCAATGACTGGTGGTGCAATGTGTAATATCCATTCACGCGCATCTTTCACGGTCTCTAAGGATGTTCTCCTTCGTGAGCAGGTCTCGTGACGGCGGTCTTGTGCAACGTTCAGCGGAGTCTCGAACATGAAATCCCGAGGAGGAGCTTCCTGTCACGCAGGGCGATCGACGGAACTAGAGGAAGGTACGTTTGCCTCCAAGCGACACCTTCCGAACGCACGACGATGCGTTTTAATGAAACCGCTTTTGCAGGAAGTACTTCGACCCGAACGAGGAAGGTGCTTTCGACAGCTACGGTTCCGCGGGTGGTCAATACGACCCGTACGACCACGTGACGGGTGAGTGTCGCAACTACTTATTATTCCGTCGCGAGCTCATTTCGTATTCTTGGATTCTTTGCGTATCCTTGAACTCCTTCCTGGAGCCGTTGATATTCGACGATTTGCGGACCCTTCGATATTTCTTTTCTAATCTCGCGTCTCGTAAACTTTCACTCTTGAATCTTTTTCTAATCCCGCGTTTCATAAACCTTCGCTCTTGAATCTTGGCACTCGGGAGCTTTTTCGCAACTCTCATTTTTCATATCTCTTTTTCGGAACTCTCCGCGTCGCTTCTTCTCGACTTTGGGTTCTCAAGACTTCTCGAGCCGTCGAATCCTCGACTCGAGTGTCTTTTGTGCTCGGCAATAAGTTTCATAATATTATATTAAATGGACATTCGCATTATTCGTTTGTACATTTCGCAATCATTTTCTTTGCATGACGTGAGTATTCTTGAGGTAGGACAGTTATCATACAATTAAACCTACGCGTGAAGTTGAAAGGAGAATCGATGTCGGCACGTCGATAATTGCCGGAGACTGCTTCACGGCGCAAACGGCGCGATTTTATGGAAATCACGATTTTATTCATCATGACTTTGCTCCTCGCTACACTCGTAAAAACTATCCTCGTTATCTGGGAGGAGTTTCGAGTTATCTTCTTAACCGCCGTCGCAAATGCACACGATCGATCGAATGCACGCGAGCGAGTATTTAATTCGCACGGTTCGATGAGGCGAATGGATTATCACTCGCGTGAAAGGTGACGCGACGTTTATATTGTAAAAAAGAAAAAACTACTCGCGCGGATAGGTCAAGCAAAATCTCACCGGCCACACGGATCCGGCAAATTACCAGACGTTATCTGCGAATGTTCGTACGAGCGATAAGTGCGAAGTTTTAAATATCACGGATCATCGTGATGTCTGCAATCCCGATGATCAACGTTCAATAAGACACGTGCTCACGGATGGATACTTTATTTCATTCTGACCTTCTTTATTATATTGAAGACAATTATATAATAATTATCACTCGTCAAAAATAAACACTGCTTTAATCATCAGTTTTACCGTTTCGTTAACATTTTTTTATCTAAGCAAAAGAATCGATAATTGGAAGGTAAAGGTCAAGGCGTGTGCGATTTTTCAATAATTTGCTTTCTTACAATATTAAATATTGTAAAAACTATACAAATATTTCTGTTGATTTATTTCGTTTTTAATTTTTTCTGCGCTTCATACGAAAGATTCACCAAAACGTTGCGAACAACTGAAATCTCTCGCAATTATACGGTCTGAGAACGCGATAATCGCTTTTCGGAATGTTTCGGACAACTTGTCGAAATAAGAGCGGTTCCTCAAACGGCGCGAAACCCTTTCAATCGTTGCGAAATGAAGAAACCGTTTGTACATTGCAGATCTATCTGACATCAGGAAAAATGTGCCGGGTGAGCCAGGCGTCGACTATCCCGCCTACTCGACATTACCTCAGACGGGATTCACGTGCGAAGGACGTTCACGCGGTAAATACAGGGAATAAATCACGCGGGCTCGTCGCATACCTCGGAGCAATCGTTGTCCGCTCTACGACGTAGAAATACCGGCGCACCGCGTTTGTTTGGGTCACGTGGGAAAGCAAAGCGCCTTCGTTTAGCGTATGAGCTCATAGTCACCAATTACACCGTATAAACCTTACTACGAGACCGAATCCTCGCGAGCGTTCAATCAACAGTGCCTCACAAATGAGACGTCATGTAGAATGAAGGAATCGGCACTGCGAAATTATTAACACCGTTGCGGTGTGTACAATCCTGTTTCGTTGGCCGATTGTTCAAACGAGATTTCGCGCCCGAGAGTGGGAATATCGCACGGTATGCTTGACGGCCGTACAGATGCGCTAAAGAACCGTAATCGTTCTTCCGTTTGTCATTGTCGGTAATGACGCGTAATGAACATCCAACTTTCTGCGGCGCGCGAATGTTCTCTACGCTATTATGCCGTCGACGTGATCTCGCTTCTCTCTCTCTCTCTCTCTCTCTCTCTCTCTCTCGCCCACCACAGATATTAGATAATCCGGCGCGCGAAGAGAGAGATTGAGTGCACAAAAAGAGAGGAGCCGACGATGCGCAGACGAGACGTGTGTAATCCGTTATGTAAGCCGCCACGAAATCTATATGTATTATGTCACGATATACATAAGACATTTCTAATTCATTCGAATTCACTTCGCTCAACAGGCTATTACGCCGACGAGGCGGCCGGGTGTCAGGTTTTCCACGTGTGTCACGACGTGCTGGTCTCCTCGTTTCTCTGCCCGATAGGCTCGACTTTTAGCCAGAAGCTGCTGACCTGCGACTGGTGGACCAAGGTCGACTGCTCGTCCACCAACAGATACCTCGGGGTGAACCGTAACAACTATCAGATCGACGACGACGAGATGATCCGCAACGCGTACGCGATGATCAGCCTGCAGTCCACCGAGGACGTCACCAAGGACGGCCTGGTGGATCCCGACAGCGGCGCCAGGATCGTCGACTACTCCACGCTAGGTGGTAGAACTCTGGGCTACACACCCGGATTCCGCAGGATCACGGATTACCCTGCCGTCGACGCGACCGGGAACGACCTGCCGAGCGGCTTCGAGGACTACCCGCAGCGGAACGATCGTCAGATTCTTGACTACAGTCGTTATCAAGAAAAACTGGCGAAGACCAGTTCCGTGTATCAGAGCAAGTTCCACCTTGAGGACAAGGGACGGTCGCCTTACCACGCCTCTCCGATCATCCGACACGATTATCAGGGTCGATCGGCCGGCGACAATGAGTTCCAGGACGACTATCGCAGACCCGACGGCTTCACCAATCGGCTACAGGCCTCCTACGCGCCTACTGTTCCCACTGTTACCACCACCACGAGGAGATTGTACTCGCCTACGGTTCCGACGACCTATCGGCCTTCAACGTTGGCTTACAGCAAGCTGGATCTGCTAATGGACAGCTCTGATCATCTGTACGCGCACAGTAAGAGCCCGGTGACACCTCCCACGATCGTTCGGCAGGACGATGACACGGAAGATATCAGCTTGAGCGAAACTGCGCGTCACCACGACGACCCGGAGAGATCGGAGAGCGAACGGAAGGCGGACGGGGCGCGTCTCAACTTCGAGGAGAAATCGCGCACGAATTTCAGGATCAACGTGACCGACGCGATCGACGAGCTGTTCAGGCAGCAGAGTGACAAGCCTGTTGTTAGAAACGACGATGACGGGAACGACGAGAGCGCGGAAGTCATCGAGCTGAAGGACAGCGTCGGAATCGTGCAAGCGCTGAATAATTCACGCGGAAGGATTATCGTGCAGAGACAGGATCCCGTGATTCAAGCGTTGAAGAACGATCGTGTTGGTCTGACCACACTTCCTCCATCGGGGACGAGCGCTCACGGCGACACCGTGAACTCGACGCAGATCCTGAAGAAGCCGGACGTGGTCGTGGCCAACGAAACCGGCAGCGACGGGTCGACGGAGGATTACGAGGATGTCGTGAACTCGACGGCTGGCGGTATCGAAGACACGACGTACCTGAGCAGCTCCGATGACGGCGCGACTCCGCCGGTGACGAACCGCCGAGAAAGAGACGACGACTCCTCGATAGAGTCGACAACCGCGAGAGCTACGATTGACACGACTGAGAGAATCGCCGAGAAAAGTCACGAGGTGCTTGACGATCGCTCCTCGTCCAAGGAGAATCAGACGGCGGTGGACCAAAACTCGTCGTCGACGAAATCGGTCTCCAGCTTCGGCGACGAGCAGTTCTCAGCGGACTTCGGCTTCCGGACTTCCCGACCAGCGCTGTTCTTGCGCCCACCACTGGAAGGCTTTTTCATTAACGTCCCCGAAGAGACGCACTATACGACGCTGGACGACGCTTTCAAGAGATCCTGGGACTCCGGAGTGACGACCACCGAAATCCCGCGTTTCTCCAGCGCGCTCTCTGGCAGCAGTAGGGACGAGTCGCCGGTTTACAACGAGAACATCGACTACACGGACGAGAGTTTGCCGGTGACGACGCCCAGTCCGGAGGTTCATCTCGCTGACCGGGTGATCATCGAAACGTCCACGCTCATACCGTGGCTGGTTCCCTCGTGGCACGATCGATCGAATGTCCCCGTGACCGACGTCGTGCCGCCGGTCGTGGACTACAACGACGGCTTCGGCGACTTCGTCCCGCCGGACCGAGACGCGAACGGACGCGTGGAGTCCTCGAGAGCGCAGGGTTTAAGGAACAGCAGCGAAACGGAAACCCTGAACCGATACAATACAGGCTTCCAGTTCACCATCAGGGACGCCATCAGGGCTCAGGCGCAGTCGGAAGTAGATACGAAATCACCGTGCCACTCTTCAACATCCGATGGGCGAACGAGGCACTGTGAGACGAGTTCGGCTGTCCCACAGGTGGCAGTTTCCACTCCCAGTGTCGAGCAGGAAGCAATTTCCATCGGCACAAAAGCGACCACGAGGTCGTCCGAGAAACCGGTCACGCCTGTCCCCGATAAATCTTCGACTTCTGTCGCGCGATCTTCGGTCACCGTCAACGGTAACATCGATGTAGAGGGGTCGTCGTTGAAGGCGGTTACACCGAGAGGCGTGTTCCAGACCAAGAGACCCGAAGAGAACGTTGGAGAGACGACGGAAGCGACGACAACGAGCAGTCCGCTGCACCCGATCCGTCCAGGATCCTTGAAGCAGATCGAGGAAACAATCGACCGGCGGAATTCTCCGTATGAAGTGTCCTTCTCGGTGAAGAAAGACGAGGACCTGGACACGACTGCCGACGACTTCATCAGCCGATTAATCGCTCAGCAACCGACCGTTCTGGGCGATTTTGAGATCATCAAGTCGGTCGAGCCGGAAGACGATCGAATCACCGGCGTTCCTCAAGCGCCGAGGTTGCCGGATATTAGTCACACGTCTGCAGGCGTAAGCAGTTCCGTCGTTTCGTCAAGTAACACGGCCGATCAACCCAAGGACTCGGACGTGAGTATGCTAAATCTCCTTCAGCTCATGGCGGAACTGTTGAAACTAGACCGGCTGCCTCGGCCGTTCTCAACGAATGTACACAACGCAGAGACCCCGAGGAAATTAGACGACCCGAACGAGCCGCCCTTCGTCACGGCAAATCCGCTTCTCGATCATTCGCAAGGTCAGACCACCCCCGGAAATGCCATTTCGAGGGCCTCCGTCTTCGATATTTCGAACACACCCGCTGACACCGCCGAGCCGAGAACGTCGTCGACCTTGGATCGAAATAAGCAATCTTTCGTCACAACGAGTCCACTGTTAGATTATTCGCAGACACCGTTCGAAAAAGCCAACTCCAAGCCGCCCGCATTCGACATGTTGAAGATAAATGTTGGCAACTCAGAGCCAAAGACGCCACTGGATCTGGACGGGAGTGAGCCATTGTTCATTACGACGAATCCATTATTGGATCAATCACGGGCCAGAACGACGTTCAGGAATGCGAATTCCAAGGCGCCTTCCTTCGATGATACCATGAAGACAACTACCAACGTTGCCTTCGGAGTGTCTCCCGACGTTTCTCCTCGAATAAATCCAGATTACGCGACGAAGGCGAGCCTGTCGACGACAAACGGCAGGGGCAACCGGCCATTTCAGAAGCAGGAGATCCTGGAACAGTTGACGGAGAACTTCGGGCAGCCTTTGTATGGCGGTGACTCGATCCACCGGTCGCTCATCTTCGACCTGCCGCAGGTGCAGAGGAGTTTAGACTTCGAGACCGGTCTGCCGATAAAGGGGAGCGAGCGAGTGACTGAGGAGGCCGGAGTAAAGCTGGTGTCTTCTACAACGAGGTCAACGACGGCGGTGACGACGACGTCGCCGACCACAGCGCCGACGACTACGACGACACAAGGAACGATCACGACGGCGGAGTCCGAAAGGACCATCGTCGAGACCGAGTTCGTTCCTTCCTTAGGGTTCTCCTTCGACACCGACGAGGGTCGCGAGGAGTACGTGGAGGCGATTCTCGGGGGATTGATCGACGACCACGGCAGAAACAAATCCAGCGCCGCGCAATTAACTCACGAAGCGCCAAAGAACGAGACCCTGAGACCCGGGAGACACGAGAGTTCAGAAGACGTCTGAAGAATCTCCAGGGCGTATGTGAAAGATTTGAAAGCGTCTGTCGAAGATCTGCCGGGTGCTTTTGAGATGAGAACGGTCCCATCGTTATCGATTACTCGTATAATGTCAGCGTTCGATTGCTATCTGAAGGAATAGGCGAGTGCGCGAAGAAAAATAATTCCACCGTCGTAGCAAAATCCATCGTCGCTACTGTGAATAAAACATATTCGTTGCGACGGCGATAAAATTTAGTTGACGATCAAATTAACAAATTATTGGTAATTAGAGTAGAAACGGGCTTTGTCGTCGGGATAAAAAGTACTCCGTTGAGTGAACATGTCCTTAGGACACGTTAATTTGCTGCTGGAACAAAATATCGTTTTCCTAAACTTACCGATTTGTTCCTACAGCGAAGTGATTTGTAAATTCAGCCAAATAATTCAGCGAATGACAATTGGTATTCTTAACGAGTCCTTTAGCTATCCGCGTATTGATTGACAGATCTCGCTGCGTCGGCATAAAATTTGCTGTGTCGGCAAATTATTTTTCTCCGTGTGGCAGGCGTGCGTTTATTAAAGTTACATTAATCTTCCGTCCATATTATAATCGCAAGATACACTATGCAGCTGCAGTTAAGAGGAGGCGGCACAATAACCGATGCATTGTGACTATTTTCCTCACGCCGAAATCACGCGTATTTTCTAATGTGACCATATAGATAAGATCTCGTGCGTTGTAAAACAATGGATCACGTCGTAAAATGGAATAAAATGGATCACGTCGTAAAATGGTGGTCTTGCTCATGTACAAGAGGATGGAGTGTGTGTGTATATAACAAACAGCGTGTGCATCCGGTGTGCGTGCAAGGGAACGTATCTAGCATTATGAATATTTTGTCTAACCCGGAGTTTGATACTCTTCCTTCTCCTTTTAATACATATATATATATATATATATATATCTCGTTATACAAATTTCAACCGTGTAATCGATAAACACTTGCTGTATACCCTCCTCCCACATAGAGAGGCAGTTGATTCACCATGACAACGGTAGTGGCGTCCAATTCGTTTACCGTTCAGTGTTGTTCAATATTTCTCCAAGGCGATTCAATCTAATCTGAATGTGATTTCTCGAGAAACAATTACACTCTGAAACTGATTAATCCGGAAACTTAGTCGCATACAGTAACAATTTATCTACTTCTAATCAATTGTAAATAATCGCAAAGTTGTGTCGATCTTATAAGAAAATAAACCTCTGAGAAAGTGGAATGAAATATTGCGTATGTGAATTAAAGAGAAAATGAATTGTATACATAGTGCGGCCTTCATGTCATAGAGCAAGAGATAAGAAAGGTTATTCTGTAAAAAGAAAATGTAAAGTTTATTTCGGAAGGATTGATTGACCAGCGAAATGTCGGTGCTTACCAATAATACGGAGAAAAACGCAAATGAAAACGAAATTGAAGAAGAAGATCGAACTGACAAATCGGCCTTTCGTACACCATCCATCTTTACAGATTATCGGTATCGTATTAATTAACAGTGTTATACTTATTTATCGTTCGTCGTGGAATTTGTCTTGTTCGTGAGATTGATTAAATTATCTTCATTTGAATACAGAATAAGATGGATTCGCGAAAGAGTTATCAAATTTCTCGGACTTAATGGACAACAACATCTTTTCGACGAACTCATTAACGTAATTAATCTTCCTTGGTATGTCGCTTCAAGAATTAGACCAAATTGACATCGTTCGTCTCTTAATAATTAGGCGAATAATCGGTACTTCGAGGACAAGCTGCTCGATTTTCTAATACTGGACCTGTATGGAGTGACCAATCTGGAGAAGAAGCTGATCTTTTTCTACAAGACTCTCGTTAGTGAAATAATTCAGGAAGAGGTCTCAGTGTGGGAAGAAAGTAAGTTAATACATTCTGATGGAGAATGTGCCAGTTTCATCGGATGTTTGCTAGGCAATAGATTCTGTTATCAACTTTATGGATCTGGAGCATTCCATATATAGAAACTACAATTTTGCGATTAAGAGTAGAAAACATTATGATGACATGATACATCGATCAAATGTTCAGAGAGAGACACTTGTCTTTGACTTCAGGTCAGCGCGCAAAAATAACAGCGTTGACCGCGTTCACCTCGAAGAGCAGAACTCACAGGTTAACAAAGAGTGTTTCCGGTAAAAATCTCGCGATTTTTAGGATTACACAGCACTCTCCCAGAAATTGCACTTTGTCCCTAATACCCCACGTTGCACAATTTTATACACGGAGACAAATAATTTAGAAAGATAACAAATTTTATGTTGTCGTTGTAGCAAATAAATCCCACATTAACATGTCGACATGGTTTTAACAATGCAAGGTATTTAACAGGTAGCGGAAGTAGCAGCAGTAGACCAGATTTTTAACAATTAAGGGTGTATTTCATAAAGCACACTTGATCCTATCATATATATGATTTGTATTTCTGTTTGAAATTTTGCTCCTAATATCTGCCTCTATCTCTCCGTTTCTCTCGCATAAATCTAAAGGTAAAGGTCTTCGGGCAAAAAATTATTGCATTTATAGCTATCTTAGTTCTTATATTTTTAGTGAGTTTTGTGATCGTTACGCCAAAAAAGATGGCCGAATGACATTTTCCGATAATACTAGGAAAATTCGAGAAACCCGAAGATGACGATGTCAAGAAAAGAGACAAGAAGCTCGCGAAGAAAGCTAAAAAGGATAAAGTTAAAAGCAAAGCGGAAATCAGTCCAGCTTCCAGTTTGGCGATGAGCCCCAGCGCGTTACAAACATCCAGTATACAGGTATCCAGCGAAGATGATGCCAAGGAAGACGACGACGAAAACAGGGAGCAGGACGAAAGTGGCGAGCCTCTGAAAAGGAGGGAGGAGTCGAAAGACGTGTCCGTTGGCAAGTTATATCTCGCGTTATGCAATATCACGTGAACTTGCGTTAGCAATGAATAATCACACGCAATGATTAATGGTTTCCAGATAGCGCGGACTTTGTACCACCGCCTGGAGAAGAGGACAAATATATCCTGACTAAGGTGATCCCGCGAAGAGACGTATAAATTTGTCATTTATTTGAAACTCAATCTCTGTTATTTGTGCGCGGGACCGATCGTCCCTCCGTTATCTTCAATTTCGCTTCGAGATCTTGTATATACGAGAAAACGGGTTAAACGTTTCTTTACAAGACTATCGACACCGGTCGTCACGCCCGACGAGAGCGATGAAGTCGAGACTTAATTCTAGTTTCAGTTTCACCGTAGCCGATTGACGTTGACCGCGGGGCAAGCGATTTCTCGTCTCTCCCCCGTTTTAATTTCGAAGGGAGGCGAGCAATCGACTAATAAACCGCGGTTAAGACGAACTGACCAGGCCGGTCATAAAGCAACGAGATCTGCGGTAATTGCAGAAAATGGTGGAGAAAGTCCGCAAGGTGCCGGTGATTCACATGATATGCGGCGAAATAGACGGCGATAGGACTGACTTGCGCGACGTCACTCTCTTCTATTTTATGCGCACCATCGACGAGGGTATACCCTCTTTCGAGAGCTACGAAGAGTGCCTCGATGATATCACGGATTACCTGGTGGTCGGCTCCATCGACAGCAGATTCTTAGCCTCTCTGAATAGAATGCTGACTGACGTAAGGACCGTTCAATATAATCGCCCATGGTCCTGGTAATGCCCCTTTCACCGACCGATCGTCTCTCGCCACTAATCCTTTCGCAATCGCGACCCATCCCGATTACACCGTAGCTCTGTTGATTTATTATACACATATAATACGCGAAATATAATTGAAATAACGACTGGAGCCTTGGAAAAGTATTTTACTCAGCTTAATGATAAATAGAGAGGTGGACGAAAATATAACAGAGGAGAGAATATGCGTATAATAGCAGACTGATGAATAGCGTTTTGATGTTTCGAGGTGAAGAATTTCGTAATATCGTTAATAAAAAAACATAGTTGATGCATATAGTGATCCAGTAATGTACGAGTCATGAAATTTTAGGTATTTAAGCCATTGGTGGAGAAGCATTTCAGGGAGCCAGATTTTTACGAACGGTGGAAGTCGGAACAGGAAGAGGAACTCGCGCCGATTATCGAGAAAACGGTATCCGCACTGGAGACCATAGAATTTCGAATACATAAAATATCATTTACTTTAACAACATTGACGATAGATTCATATAATCGCGAGTCAGCTTGAAATTTACCGCTTTTCCTTAAATTTTATTCCATATCTGTTATATAAAACATGTGGTTTCTCTAAATTTTCACGTGTTTTAAATCACGTCGATAATTCGAATCATATTGAGTTGTTCATCTAATGAATAATTTCGATATTTCATTTGCTCGTGAAGGAATTCAGCGCTAAGTACACCATCCGAATTCCAGAAAGCGTCCGGATTCAAAGAGGACGCAAGAACAAACATACAGGACGAAGAGGACGATAAGATCTCTACGTCCACTTTGCAGGAGGAAACTCCGAGAGGTAAAAGCTCAAAGTCAAGCTTGAGAGGGGGCAGCAAGAAATCATTGTCGGATTTCAAGTCTACTAGATCAGTCGACGCGTTCAAAGAAACGATGAGGGACCATCGGAACAAGAAAGACATTCTAAATTATCTTGACAATCTGATCGAGAGCGTGGAATGGTTAGCATTGCTTTCTCGCGACAAAGATTAATGGACGCTACATCTGGTGTCGCGTTAACGTTTCATTTTCAACCTCTGCGAACGGACTTGTAATCTAGATTCTGGTGATCTAGGACGCTGGAGCACGTCGAAGGTGACATTTTGCTGACGATGCCGACCATAACGGAATTGCAGGATCCGGCGATAACGGACGATATGTTGCTGAAAAATCAAGATATCGTCCAACAGCTGGAGGAAGTGGTCTTATCGTGGGAGAAGCACATACAGAAAGTGAGCGACTTAATATTACTTTCCCTACGCTTGTCTGTTGAAAAAAGAAAGGACCATGACTCGTCGTGATATCTCTGCAGCTTCCTGTTACCTGCAATAAAACGCGATGTTTTGTGATTGCCGGCGTCATAAATCACTGTAGAGATGCGTCGATAGCGCGTGTCGATGTCTGGGAATCAGACAAACTCGCGGACACCAAGTATTATGTATCTTGTACTTTATTATCGCGGATGATATCAGGTTATGGAATTGTACACGAGCAAAGTGCTTCCGGAGAAGGGACCGATGGTGGATTACGAGTACTGGCAGGACTGCGAGACCGGACTGACGATGTTGGAGGAACAGCTGAAAATGCCCGCGGTTAAGCGGATCCTCGCGCTCCTCGAGCAGGCACACTCGCCGGTCTCCTCGAGCTTTCAGTACTACCAGGCGGAGCTCTGGAAGCAGTACGTCGAAGCTCGGGATAGCAATAAATTCATGCAAACGCTATTAAGATACTTCAAGGTATTAATGGAGATAACTGTTCAGTCGCATCGCAATGATGTAACGTGTGTTACATACCGGACCGACCGCGTCGAGTCGATCACAAATAAATCAGAAGACGCGCGCTCACAGTTTGTCGAAACATTCCGATAACATTATATAATGAATATGACTGCATTGAAAGAAAGAAAAGTATCTAAAAAATAAAGCATATTCATTCGATGGGTACTAATAACGTATTTACTTAAATCTCTCTCTCTCTCTCTAAATTCTTTTATTTAAATAGAAACAAACAATTGCTTTCATGAAAATCTACAGATTTAAGAAAATGTGTATTTTTGTATTTGAAACTTTTTCTTCCGTGTAAAAACATGTATGTTAGTATAAGAAAAATATGTTATTATTGTCCAGCGAATAAATATTTGTTATTTCTTAGATTCTTTCCCTCGGTGGGACTTGCCAAAAGTTCGTCGGATTGTCTCAACCACGTTTTCTTTTGCTGATAATAATAAAACAGAGCGTAATATTTATAAACGTTCAGTCCAAGTATCCGCAATCGTTATTCACCATCTTCCACCTTTCGGGAAATAATCTGACTCCGCGTCTGCGAAACGACGAATTTTTTGTATCGATAAAATCATCGATGAACCAGCGAACTTCTGCACGTCCCCGAGCGCAATATATAGCGTATATGCGATTAAACGATAACAGTGTTAATTAACGTCTCTCGCAGTTGATTACCGAGTCGGATTCATTCGAATCTATAGCGGAGTGCATGCCTTCGCTGACGGAGGGGCTGCGGATGCTCTGGGTGTTGTCGAGTTATTATTCCTCCGAGGAGAGATTGATGTCGCTGATGAGCAGGATATCGTGGCAACTTTGCCAGAACGTGAGGAAGAACCTGGCGATCGTCACGTTATTCAAGAGGCCGTTGGAGGAGGTCTTGGAGAAAACGGACTGGGCCAGCACGATGCTGAGGCAGTGGAAGCGGTCGTACCTGAAGACCCGAGCGGACATCGAGCTGCTGGGGAAGGGGACTCGCTGGGAGTTCGATCAGAAGCATCTGTTCGAGGCGACGGAGTACATCGCCGACGTGTGCAGCGACCTCCGCGGGATCGCCAGCGTGCTGCAAGACTTCTACAACATCTTCGGGGCGGACCTCAAGTCCATCATAGACGACCCCGCGCAGATCGACACCGTGGTGAAGCGGGTGGACGCGCTGACGGTGCCGATCGAGCAGACGGACTTCGATGTCTTCAACGTCTTCAACAAGGAGAACTGGGAGGCGATGACCGCGTGGTTCTACGAGGAGGTGTCGTTCCTCGAGGACCAGGCGAGGTTCTACATCGACGAGTGCTTCTCCGTCCTGATCAGCGCCGAGACCGCCCTCGAGATGCTGCTCAAGTTCAAGCTGATGAAGACCCGCGAGGCCGTTCAGCAGCGGCTGCTCGGCAAATTCGACGTCGTCATGCAGCAGTTCAGCAAGGAGATCAGCACGGTGGAGCACGTGTATAATCGGGGCAAACGGCAGCCGCCGTTGCTGACGTATCACCCGCTGATGGCGGGCGCGATCTTCTGGGTGAGGAAGCTCTTCCACAGACTGCACAGGCCGGTGATGGTCTTCCAACAGGTCAGGGAGCTGAAGCACAGCGAGCTGAGGTTGCTCGCGTTCGGCCAGTATCTCGAGCTCGCGAATCAGCTGAAGGACTTCGAGGAGGCGAAGTTCAACGCTTGGCTCGACAACGCGCTGCTGACGATCGCCGCCACTATGAAGAAGAGCGTGCTGAGGATAGTGCAGGTCGAACGCGACCTGCCCGTCACCCTGACCTTCCCGACAGAGCAGCAGGAGCCCGCGAAGGAGCTGCAGCTGATCCACCTGGCGTCGAAGACGAAGCACAAAGACACGGTCTCGCTCTCGTCGACCCCGCAAGGATCGTTGCTCAAGCACAACGTCATCGTGTCGAAGCCCAGTATGGAAACAATTGACTCCGATGTCGCAGGGTCGAGACTCGGGCCTGTGAGCGCACAGTTTCGCTCAGAAACGAGGATCGACGCGAAAGGGAACCCGCAGAAAGGCTCCGCCATGTTCTCGGACAAGCACGAGGTTCGCGGGAAGATCAGCTGGACGGAGTTCATGAGCGGCACCATCCTGGTGGAGTGTCAGCTGCGTTTTCAGTTGAACTTCGACCTGGAGGTCTTCGAGGTCATCAGAGAGGCGGAACTGATGGAGCAGCTGGGCTTTCAGCTGCCCGTCGCCCTCAGGGACGTCGGTATTCAGAAGAATCGACTGAGAGCGGACATCGACGTTACCGAAAAGATGATCAACCAGTACAACAGCGTCGTGGACTCCCTGGAAAAGAGTGACATACAGTTGTTGAAGAGGACTCTGCAAGACATCGAGAGGAACCTTCAGCCGGGGGTGACGCGATTCAACTGGAACTCCCTGAGCATCTCCGATTACGCGTCCTCCTGCGGCAAGATGCTGAAGAACCTGAACTCCATCGTCGAGCAAATCAATCAGATGGAACGAGACCTCGACAGCCGAATCGAGGCAGAATTGCAATCGTACCACTTGTTCTCTACCAAGAAAGAAATCGCCGAGTCGGAGGATCTTTTACCGTGCAAGGTATCTTGATAAATATCTTAATTTCTTAATGTTTTGCTACTCCTCAACTCAGTTGGGGTTTTATTGATTCATCCGAATTCAAATACGTCAAGGTAGAACCGAGATTCCTTTTTAAAGAAAATATTAAGTCCGAATATTTCTTTCCACTCGAAAAATTGCTATATAAAGTTTCGTGACGTTTTCAATTTGTCGACTATTACAATCGACTTCTCTCTTCGCAGCTTTATTTTCTCGAGATTAAAAATCGACGGTCCGAGTTAGTGTCGTCGATGTCGAAAGCATACAAGTCGATCAGTCCGATGCTCATGAAGCTGGAAAGCTTGGTTCTGGGCACGTCAACTGGGAAAAGTCCAGATATGCAACTCTTGTATGAAAAATATGAGAAGAAAATCTTCGTCGCCTTTATAATGTATACGTCTTTCTCTACTCTACTAAATAATAATTCTTTTCCATATAAATATGCTTAATTGATTTGTCATTTCATGAAATGTCATCTCTGCTCGGGCTCCAGGTGCATGGTGAGGAACATGGAAGTTCTGAACCAAATTTTAAGCCGGACCAAGCCGATTTTCCAAATTGACGCGGTATTAATGGCGTCCGAGGCGGTATTGCGTCCATCGCCCGGCGAAATCTACAATATCATTTGCCATGATGTGCGAGACCTGTTGGAAAGATTGAAGGGATTCTCCAGATGGATGAATGGAACTTGCTTGGAGTGTGAACCGCAGAAAAGGGAGCTCTTAGAGGATCCGGTCACTTTCAGTTTCTTCGAGGACGTGTTGAGCGTTCGAGTTGAGTAAAATTTGCCAATTCACGCGCACGTGGTAAAGTTTTGCGGTAAATCGTGAAGCGAATTTAGAAACTATTTCCCGTTGTGGAGTGATCTTTGTCTTTTCGTCGATTCGAAGGCTTACATCCCGAAACGTCACAGGTAGTTAACGAACTCGTGAAGCTGGTTCAAGACACGGCGTACAAGTTGTCGATGGATTGCTGGCGGTATCTGTACAGATGGAAGAAATACAGCAACTTGTGGTCGTTCGATAAGAATCTAATCTGTGAGAAATTCGCGGCGACGAAGCCTACGCTTCCGCAATACGACGAGAAGTTCACGTTTTACGAAGGAATTTTGGAGGAAGTCAAAGATATGGAGTTTTACTTCGATCTGAATAGCATACGGTAAAGCGGTATCTCAATGAGAAAGATATCAGACCCTTATCGATACATGAAAACGATATATCTGTCAACAGAGAGAGAGAGAGAGAGAGAGAGAGAGAGTTTCAAATTAACCGAAATCCATATACTGATAAATTAACCAAATTCTTCCTTTTTTGCCTATCAAAATGAATGAAACATAATTTATCTTTCCAGACTGTTACTTCTTTTTGTAATTCTACAGTTACTTATATCTTGACCTACATCACTTTCTTTCCAAAGCATCAACCTGAAGCCGCTCTTAGCCGGCATCGAGCGTCACGCGAAAGAATGGAAGCAGGTTCTGGGGAATTTCCTCATATCCGACACCGTGCAGGCTATGAATCGGCTGAAAGCACGAATCGAGAAATTGCAGAGGGAGATCGAATTGGCGATCACCGGATTGGATCGCTACACGCTGCTCATGCAGACAATCGCCGAAGTGAAGAGAATAGCCGTCAAAACTGAAGTGCAGTTCCTCTCTTATCAGGAAAGCTTTAAAACTATGCGCAGCCAGGGGATCGAGTTCCCCTTGGCGGACGAGACGATGGCGTATAAATTGCAGCGCGACTGGGAAATGTTGTATCTCGAAGCGCTCTACAGAGCTACGACCTTGGAAAGCACCAGCGACAAATTCTGCGAGATGACCGAAGACCAAATCAACCGATTGCTGGACGAAATCGCGGAGTTCGCCCAAGATTTCGAGGAGCACGGCCCAGGAAGCATCGGGGACGATTTGGAACTCGGACTGAAAAAAATGGAGGTATGCACGCATTCGTCAGAATGTTTTAGATAAAAGTTGTTCGATTCGAAGGGGGAAAAAGGCAGGGATATTAGTTTGAACTTGGGTGGATCAAGGTCATATCAAGATCACTATGAATTTTTTTAACGAAATCGTATAGTTTTCGTAATGTATATTGATTCTTCTAATCGTTTGCAGAAAAGTATTAAGGTAAAGTCATCGAAAAATGACTATTTTCCCAGATATTTTACAATTTTTTCAGGTACTTTTCACTATATATGATGTAAAATATTTCATCAAGTATTCATTTTTGACACTTTTGACGCATGAACATTCTCTCTCTCTCTCTCTCTCTTTAAATTCTTTAAATATAATATCCAAATTCTTCCATATGATATTACACTCTTGACAGAAATGTGCGATTACAAGCTTGGTCTTTTGTGTATTTACAGGAATACGGCAAGCTGATCGACAAGTACGAAGAGAAACGCGCGAACTTGGCAAAGTCCGAGGTACTGTTCGATCTGCCGCCCGTGGATTATTCGGCCTTCCTCAAAGTGAAGAAAGACTACGAGAACATGGAGATACTGTACGATCTCTACAAGCAGCAGAGAAGCGAGCGGGAAATTTGGGCGAAGACTCTCTGGGTGGATTTAAATCCTCAACAGCTCATCGACGGTATGGAGCACTACATGAGGGAATTCCGCCGGCTGCCGAAGCCCGTCAGGACTATGCACGTCGGACACGCCTTGGACGCCGACATGAGGAACTTCAGAAATTCGGTGCCGCTCTTCATCGAATTGAAGAACGAGGCTATGCGAGATAGACACTGGCAAGAACTGATGAAAAGGACCGGACAATATTTCGATATGGACCCGGACAGGTGTGAGAGCGATAATTGATGGTTAAGCGAGTGCTAATTAAAAGTGCGCAGAAGGACGAGGAAAGTTCAGTAGACTGCTAGTTTAATTGTAACAGGGACTATTAGAAATTATTGTGTTATTTTGTATCCAGCAGTCTTCTATCGCTGCATGCGAATGATGGATATATTTTTTATCGTTTATAATATTTCCTTCTTTCTCTTTAAATTTATTTCCCTCTATCAATCCGGCGCGATAATATTAGTTTCGCCATTGTTGCAATGACGGGACGAGAAAGGGGATCCGACGGATTTTATCACGAATGAGAGGGGCTGAATGTCACTCATGCCAACGTGTTCGCTATATTTTAATCGACCGCAACGCTCGATTCTTTCAAATCGGCGATAAAAGACGGCATAGACGCGGGAGGATATGTCAAAGGAATTGCTGTTTGTTTCATGGCGCTACGTCGACTCGTTAGTGAATTACAGCAGTTTAAAATAACGCAGCGTTGCTTTTCAGATTTCGACTTTCTTAGCACGAATGTAAACGTGGCACCTGCCCTCGCGCCGGCGCACTATTTGTTTTGATGCTGTGCTCTTCTAAAATGAGGTGGATGACCTCAAGGTCGCGATAAGTCGGGCAAGGTGCCTTCGCTACCGACCGTATACAGTTATGTACAGCGCAAGGTGTACCCTTCCTAGAAACGCGTCTGCGGAATGCGACTATTGTTCTCCGTTTATGTACATGTCGCTCCGCGCGTGACCTACCCCGAGAGTAACGCCGGGCCGGCAGAGAGCGTAAATCGATGAAAACGTCGATATCTCCGCTTGCAGACGTCGTAGCGACTTGAAACAAAAACCGTCGGAAAGGGGAAAGTACTGGGATGAATGTGAAATAATTTATCTGCGAAATCAAGATTGATCAGCACGATTATGTACATGCGACGAACGCCGATTTTTGCGTTTGCGTAAAGCGCATAGCGTTAATTTTACATTTTAAACTGATATATCTGAAAATTAATTTGATGACAAATTTTGAATGCTAATTTGTTTCGCAGAAAAGGGAAAAATAACTGTGATCGATAATCGATGGCTAGTATAAACTCTCTTGAGTGCACACGTAGTTATAATATTTAACTTGTAGAAACGTAATACAAGAACTTTTTTTTATACGATACAAAAATGGCGCAAGAACAATCGTTGATAATAGAAGGGTAAGCTAGTTGAATCGCGAGTTTTTCGTTCGCTTTAACAGCAAGGGTATATGCAAATCGATATTGGATTATTCTAGATTTACCTTAGAGAACATGTTCGCCATGGAATTGGGGAAGTATCAAGAAATTGCGCAAAGTATCGTGATGAACGCCGTGAAGGAACTTACGATCGAAAGAGGCGTGAAAGAGTTAACGGAAGTGTGGAAATCCACGGAATTTACCTTGGTCAAACACTATAAAGGTATCTAAATGTTTTAAAGGGGAATCAGATAAGTCAAATAGAAGGAGACAAATTTTGTTCTAGAAAGATCAGCTAAATTATCAGTAAGAACTGAACTTGAATTAAACGTGAGAACAAATAAAGTTTTATTTAATTCAGTTGTATTGACAGTATAATTAATATAATTTAATTTAATGATAACGTAACAATTTAATCAAAATAATTTAATCGCAAATGAGGCACACGATTCTATGGATATCGATTACATTTCTCAGGCACAGAATATCGTAGCTTCATTCTCGGTCCGCTCGACGAATTGAACATGATACTAGAAGAAAACATGTTGAACGTGCACAGCATGGCAGCCTCCCAATTTATCGGGCCGTTTCTTAACGTCATACAGAAATGGGAACACACGATGCACACGATCTCCGAGGTTCTGCAGGCGTGGGTGGACCTTCAACGGAAATGGGTGTATCTCGAGGGCATCTTCATGGGCGGCGACATCCGTCTTCAGTTACCAGACGAAACGAAGAGGTTCGACGACATCGACAAGATCTTCATAAAAATCATGAATGACACGTCAAAGAGACTCAATGTGCTAGAATGTTGCACGATTCGAGGTACTGAAGAGAAATTAAATTACGATAAATTACCCGGCTATATATTGATTATTTCTTACATTTAGGCCGAAAGGAAGAATTCGAAGGCATGATCGCTGCCCTCGATAAGTGCCAAAAGTCCTTGTCGGAATACTTATGCAACAAACGCGTTTTGTTTCCGAGATTCAACTTCATTAGCGACGTTGAGTTGCTGAACATTCTCGGCAGTAGCAAACCTACTGCTATCCAGCAGCATGTAGGGAAGATGTTCGATAATCTTGACAAGTTTAGATTCACGCAGAGTAACACGGATAGAATGCTAGTAACGGCTCTGATATCATGCGAAAAGGAAGTTATGGAATTCAGAAATCCCGTGGACACGGAGGGTAACATCGAAATCTGGTTGGGCTTTGCTCTCGAGGAAATGAAAAGGTCGAACCGATACCTGACGAAAAAAGCGGTCTACGATTATGGCAAAGTTTGTATCACGTTATCGTCAATTATCGACGATCATTTAGTTATTACTTCTTCTATTGTGCGAGATTTCAATAAAATTTTATTCTTTTCTACCTCTCCTATTTTATAAAAATGTTTTCTGGTTTGTTTTATACGTTACACGTATAAGGTGGTGTTAGAAGTTTTTGTCCAATTTTCTTTTGCGACTTATTATTTACTGCCATTTTCCAAGTTTTGTATGATAAAACAAGCGATCGTTGCAATGCAGATGCGATATCCAAGGACAAAGTGGATACTCGAGTTCCAAGGAATGATGGTCCTCGCGGCCAATCAGATATGGTGGACCGCGGAGGTCGAAAATGTTTTCGACAAGATATCCCAGGGAAATAAACGTGCGATGAAAGAGGTAATATACAAGCAAGAGCGAGTGGCGAATATAAAATCTGCATTCGAATCAAATATGTATACACTGGACCTTCCGTGTCCACCATATTATTTCTTACGACAGATTATACAGATATACTTCTTTTTAACAGTATTTGCAGCAACTTAATCATCAATTGGACAAGGTAGTGATACTGATGGGCAGCGATACACTTACGAGCAAGGATAGGAAGAAGATCGACATGGTTCTGACCGTCGACGTACACATTCGCGACATCATCGAGGGTTTCGTCAGGGACAGCATTACGAGTCCCACGGAGTTCGAATGGGAAAGTCAATTGAGGTCAATTTGTAACTTGCGATACAAAAATGTGTAGCCTCCAATTGTTATAAATATTATTCATCTCGCAGGAATGACGTCTTGCATCTGCAATAACCTACAGTAACTTTATACGATAGATATGTAACGTCAATTGTCCGAATGATTTCGACGCTCTGTCTGAAGTCAGCGATGCTATTTCTGTACACCTACAGATTCTATTGGGTTCATCATCTGGACAATGTATGGATGAACCAGTGCACAGGCGCCTTCGAGTACGGCTACGAGTACATGGGTCTTAATGGCAGATTAGTAATTACACCTCTGACCGACAGGATATATCTCACCATTACGCAAGCTCTCTCGATGCACCTGGGCGGTGCACCAGCGGGTATGTGAACTCACAAGTGCGGCGTCGCGATTACAACTTTCCCACCGAGTATAACCCCTCATTGACCCCAACTATAACGTAACTAATGAATAAAACTTGAAATATTCTAAACAAGGGAAGAGGTTCTTCGAAAGTAAACAACCGGTAAGAAAAGTGGACTAACAAGAGTCGTCGCTGTACGTTGGACGCGATAATTTATTGATGTAAATCTATTAATAAATTCGGAGAAAGGATAAAATTGTTCGATTGTAAAGTATAAAATAATTTTCAAATATTCCATATTAAAATATATTAAATAAGTCTCCGAAATATTTTACATTAATATTACACCGCATGAAATATTAATCGGAAAATGTTTGCCACTTTTTCAAACAGTTTTGTCGAAAGAGATGTTTATTTTGTGATAAATATTTCGATACTTGATATCAAGGCCCTGCTGGGACCGGAAAAACCGAGACGGTCAAGGACTTAGCCAAAGCCTTGGGACTGTTATGCATCGTTACCAATTGCGGGGAAGGCATGGACTATATCGCGATCGGGAAGACTCTGGGTGGTCTTGTTCAATGCGGGGCGTGGGGCTGCTTCGACGAGTTCAATCGTATTGACAGCCCGGTTCTTTCCGTCATCTCGACCCAACTGCAAACTATACGCTCGGCGCTGCAAGTTAAGGCTCAGAGATTCACGGTACGCTCGAACAAATATCGAAAAGTATAAAAAAACAAAAAAAAACGAAGCAAAGAGAACGAGAGACGAACCTAAATCATATTTGGAACCGCGCGATATGTTTGTGAGAAATAATTTAATTTTATTAAACAGGAAGCACTTTAGTTAGCTTTAAGACTATTTACTTTAATATCACAGCAATTACTGCAAATATACAACTAAGGGATAAAATCGTGTAAATTTTTTCTAGTCTTTTCTATCTTCATTCCTATTATTTTCATTTTTATTTTACTATTAATACTAATATGAGCAAAATTATTTGGGCGAACCTATTTTGAGAATCCGACGATAGAAAATCCCGAAAGAAACTGCGAGGACTCTAATGCATCGCTCTTGTCCGCAAGTTCGAAGGGCAAGACATCGTGCTGGACTCGAAGGTGGGGATCTTCATCACTATGAATCCAGGGTATCCCGGTCGCACGGAGCTACCGGAGTCCGTCAAGGCCCTCTTCAGGCCGGTGGTGTGCGTAGTGCCGGACAATGAGCTGATCTGCCAGATCAAGCTCTTCAGCGTCGGCTTTCTGACGGCGAAACTGCTCGCCAAGAAGATGACGGTCCTTTACAAGCTGGCGAACGAGCAACTGAGCAAACAGACGCACTACGACTTCGGCCTGAGGGCCCTCAAGTCCGTACTAAACATGGCTGGTCAGCTGAAGAGAACCTCCGGCGACCTGCCCGAGAACGTTGTATTAATGAGAGCACTCAGAGACATGAATTTACCAAAATTAATTTTCGACGACGTGCCGCTTTTCCTGGGTCTGATCAGGGATCTATTTCCGGATTTGGAAGTCCCCAGAGTGCGTTATCCCGAATTCAACGAGGCGATCGAGGCGGTATTGGAAGAATACGGGTATATCGTCTTACCTGAGCAAGTATGCTGTTTTCCATACGTGTTCTTTTTTTTTTCATTTATCGCAACGCTCGACTATTAACAGAGTACGTCTCGTCTTCTCGTTTAATCACTGTGAAAATAATCTTTTTCATCGATAAATCAATGAATATAAGTGAAACAATTACGAAAGCGGCTTAGACTCCAAGTTCCGAGAAGTCACCATCCGTTACCGATGGATCATCGATGAACAATCATTATCGCAATATCAGAATCATAACGGATGAAAATTTCAATATGCTGACTCAGTCATCTTAAACCGAATATACGTGGTAAATTGATTGCCATCAGGTCGACAAAGTCGTGCAGCTGTACGAAGTGATGATGACCAGGCATTCGACGATGGTGATCGGCCCCACCGGCGGTGGTAAAACGGTGATCATCGAGATGTTATGCAGAGCGCAGACGCGCCTCAATAAGCCCACGAAGCTGCACGTTCTCAATCCGAAAGTAATTAGCCGCAATGATAATAAACGAAAGTACCGTTTCTCCGTTCCGAGAGTTTTCTGAATGTCGTCGCATTTTTCGAACTCGTCAAGGCCTGTACCGTCATCGAATTGTACGGCACGTTGGAACCGACGACGCGCGATTGGATAGACGGTCTGTTGAGCAGCATTTTTCGCGAGGTCAACCGACCGCTGAATTCCGACAATGGTGAACGGAGATACATACTTTTCGACGGCGACGTCGACGCGTTGTGGATCGAAAACATGAACTCGGTTATGGACGACAATAAATTGCTCACTCTGGCTAATCAGGAGAGGATTAAATTGCAGGATCATTGCAGCTTACTCTTCGAGGTAGATTGATGTTATCGGGTGCTATATGTTTCATTAGCATCGTTTCCAGTTAGTTTTACCATAACTTATAACTATAAACATACCTTAAACATAATAATTTTTATCTGGAATGTGATGATCTCATTAAGCTATAGTAATAATTTTGTGATAAATCGCTCTTTATATACAAGAAGAAAATACTATTTCTTTTCGATGGAATTGGCCAACAGTTATTTTTATTATTGAAATTAACACGTCATACATAACTTTAATAACTCAAGTATTAATTTCAATAATATTGCCATTCAACGTAGAGTAGATTTAATTATGGCGCTGTTGACCATTTTTATTGATATAATAGCATTTCTTTTTGCGTAGACACATTAATTAAAATATGATAGAAAAATATGATGGATTTTATTTTTATGATAGATTCGTCGTTGCACACGAAAATATGATAATAATAAGTTAATTAATTTGGATAATGACTCGTGTGGTGTCACAGGTAGGCGATTTACAGCATGCCTCACCCGCTACAGTGTCGAGAGCAGGTATGGTTTACGTGAACCCGAAGAACCTGGGCTACCAGCCGTACATGGACAAGTGGATACGAGTCAAGAGCGAAGCCGATCAAGATTTCCTCAATGGAATGTGCAAGAAGTACGTGCACGGCTCACTCGAGCTTATTCTCAAAGGAATGTTCGACTCCCAGGCGGTCGAGCCACTTCAACTGATCATACCGCAAACTGGACTTAATATGGTAATCACTGAGCTCGCTATCGATTATCTACGAGATTACTATCGATTAATTCACCGCATTCGTCGGCTTCTATCGGCCGGTTGCATTCATAAAAGGCGAGACAAATCAGGAACTCGTTGCCAATTCTAAATCCAGTTAAGCCGCTTTTTGTCATTCACCTTTCTATTGTGTCGCATTTTTCACACGCGTTTTTCAAGGTGACTCAGCTCTGCTACGTATTCGACGGCTTGCTGTCAGAAGAGAACGAATTGACGAACGACAGCCTGGCAGAAATCGGTCAAGAGGATGACGCTGAGCCAAAAGTGTCGAGAGAAGAACTCTGGGAGGCGATGTACGTTCAAGCGTGTTATTGGTCGATCGGTGCGACTGTTGTGGGTGAAGCACGTTCAAGATTCGACGAGTATATGAAGAAAACATATGGGCTTTTGCCGATGGAAGACACGCCAGCTAAGCCGGCAACTACTAGTAACGTCAATATACTTTTATTTTCAGTAACACGTCATGTCCTCCTCTTTTTTGGTTCAAAATTATCGAGGAAATAAAATTGCATCAAAGATGAAGAAAATAAGACATCTAAACTATATGTGGAAAAAATATAAAATATATAAATATAATTAATAAAAATATAAATCAATAACGTAGGAAAAATAATTCGGCCACATTTAAGATTGATTTTAATGCGAGCGCTTCTGAGCTTCTTCGTTAAATTTGAAATATAGAGATCGCGCTTTTATTACGCTAGGACACATACCGACAGCGTTTCCAACCATGTACGATTATAAGCTGGATATTAAGAAGCAAGTGTGGATGGCATGGAAGTGGTTGGTGCCGGTGTACGTTCACGACAGGCAGAAAAACTTCTCGGACATCTTGGTGCAGACGATCGATACCTTGCGCACCACATGGTTCGTGAGTGTCATGAGCGAGCTGCGAAGACCGGTATTATTGGTCGGAGAAACTAGCACCTCGAAAACAGCTATTATTCACGAGTTTCTTAGAAACTTGGATCCCGAAAAATACGTGAGTTACGAAACAATGTCGAGAGGAATTTCATAATTGCCAGCAATTGATGCATCTCGATTTAATTGTGTTGCAACAAATACTTTGCTAGTTTTAATAATGCAATTAGCAGCAATGTCAAGTCAATGTCTATCTCATATCCCTACGTAATAATAATCTATGATAATTCCGCGTGTGTGATGGATCGTAATTCCGAATAGGATCAACTCCTAATGAACTTCTCCTCGAGGACCACCTCGACGGACGTGCAGAAGAATATCGAGTCGAGTGTGGAGAAGAGATCGAGGGAGGTATTTGGCCCACCGCCTGGAAAGAAACTGACAGTCTTCATCGACGACATGAACATGCCGATCGTGGACACTTACGGGACCCAGCAGCCCATTGCGCTCCTCAAGTTACTGTTCGAGAGGGGTGGCTTTTACGATCGCGGAGGCGATTTCAACTGGAAATACATGAAGGACGTTTGTGAGTGCCGTTTGCAGAACGTCGTAGTAAAAATATCACGTTTCTCTTAGCTAAGAAGCCTTTTCGAGGAAAATTACATCAAACGACATTTCTTTTATCATCTCTCAACGTTGAAAATAAATCGACGTGTCTTTGAAACGGTTCGCGGTCAAACGGTCAATGTATTTCTTTCTTTGTTATATACAACTTTGTTTTATACAATATTTACCTGATCCAAGTGGGGTTTACTTAATCCAAGTGAAAATTTACTAAGGAATACCGGAGTAATTATTTACTTGAATCTAACACACTTTCCTGTGCACAGATTACTTGGCAGCTATGGGAGAGCCTGGTGGCGGCAGGAACGAGGTCGACCCGCGTTTCATCTCGATGTTCTCGGTTTACAACGTGACATTCCCGTCTAACGAGACTCTCAGTTACATTTACACGAACATCCTGACGGGTCATTTGCAAAAGTTTCCGACGCAGATTCAGACTATCGCGCAGGGGCTTGTCCAATTGACGCTGGAACTTTACGAGGTAATTTCGCGACACGTCGCGAAGGCGTGCGTGTAAAGCATCCGTTTAAACGGCCGACGAAAGACGTATTACAATCAAGTCACGCTTCTCAGACGATCAGGAAGGAGTTATTGCCGATGCCGTCCAAGTTCCACTATATTTTCAACATGCGGGATCTCTCGAGGATCATGGCCGGACTCCTTCAAAGCCATCCTGATTTCTTTCCGAGCGTGAAGCAATTTGTTAGACTCTGGAGAAACGAGGTCACTAGGATAATGTGCGATCGTCTTGTTAGCATGCAAGTAAGGAGCATTCGTCTGTCTCATTGGTCTCGATTTTTATTGCACTATTAGTCCTGCGCATTGGCTCCTTAAGGTCCAATATTAACAATTTGTTTAGTTTATTCAAGAGCCCTTTTTTTACTTTTGACTCGTCTCTCCTTCAATATCGAAACTTCACTCCTGCCGTTCCAGGATAAGAATTTCGTCGTTGAACAGCTGAAGGAAAAGATAAGCAATTATTGGGAGGAAGATTCCGAAGTGATTCGATACAGTTTGAGAGACCCGTTGCTCTACGGCGACTTCAGGAACGAAAAAGAACCTAGATTTTACGAAGATCTGTTGGATTACGAGGCGGTTTACAGTTTGCTCCTAGAGGTTCGTCCTTTCCGGAATGCTTCATTAACCGCTAATGAAGGCATGAAAAAAGAATAAAATAGAAAAGAATTTCTTTACTTGATCAACACACCTTCTTTCGATTATCTCTCGCGCGACCGATATTCGATTTACGATCATCCTCGATCAATGCCCTCTTCGTGAAGAACTTCATGAGCATTTCTTCCGTCGCACGCTTCATTTACACAGATTTTCGAAGAGTACAACGAGAGAAGTACGACCAAACTGTACATGGTGCTCTTCAACGACGCGCTCGAGCACCTGACCAGAGTGCATCGAGCACTTCGGATGCACCGTGGCAACATGCTCGTCGTCGGTATAGGTGGCAGCGGCAAGAAATCGGTGATCAAGTTAGCGTCCTTCGCCGCCGGCTACCAGCTCTTCCATATCACACCGAGCCGCGGATACAACGAGGCGTCCTTCCGCGAGGACGTGAAGAGACTGTACAACATGGTCGGCGTGGAGAACAAGAAGGTCGTGTTTATGTTCACGTCCGCTGACATCGTGCGCGAGAGCTTCTTGGAGTTGGTGAATAACATGCTGATGGCGGGCTTCGTGCCGGCTCTCTTCGACGACGGAGAGAAGGAAGCAATCATCCTTTCCTGCAGAGATGCCGCGGCCAATGCCGGCTTCGACGTCGGAAAGTGAGTTAATGTTCGTTCCTCGTTTACCGCGCAATTTTTTTCTTTATCTTGACCCGACAGGAACGTCCAATCCATGTGTTTTCCATCCAAGTGTACAATTGCGAATCATATCATATTTTTCAACGCTGCAACCTTTCGGATGGCTTTCGAACCATGACGAATTTGTTTGATGGTGAACGTGTTTTATAACATAATGTAATATTATAAAACCCGATGAGTTTACCATGATTAGTGTATATTCTAATTATTACAATCCCCTTGCTCCCCTTGTAAATTTGAAATTGATCGATTTTCACCGTCGTTATTTGGCCATCTTCGAAGCTTCTAACACTCTCAGATCTTCAAGAAGCGTTGACTTCTCCTGGTATTTATTTCAGATATACACATGCTTTGAATATCGCAGGTATCGGATATTTTTAATCTCAAACTTTATATATCGTTTCGTGCGTTATTGCTCGTAGAAAAAGCGTCTGGTCGTACCTCGCGAGAACGTGTACCGCGAATTTGCGGATAGCTCTGGCGATGAGCCCGTCCGGGGAGGTTCTGCGTACGCGATGTCGCAATTATCCCGGCTTGATTAACAACACCACGATAGACTGGATGTTCCCATGGCCGCAGCAGGCCCTGGTGGCTGTGGCGAACGTCACTCTCCGAGACGTAAGCAAACGATCGGCGAAGAGGACCGTGCGAATAAGAAGTGAGAAGAGTGCCTCTTTTCAGAACCCGTTCGTGCCGCAGGAACACAGGGAAGCGATTGTGAGTCACATGGTGTACGTGCACACGTCTGTGTGCCAGTACACGGTGGACTTCGCGACGAAACTGAGAAGGCGGAATTACGTTACGCCCAGGCATTTCCTGGATTTCATCGACACTTACGTGAATCTGCTGATGGAGAGGACAGATTTCATAAGCTCGCGTTGCGCGCGCCTCTCCGAAGGTATTGCCGAATATTCCCTCGTAAACTCTTCGCTCGCACATTTCTTCTTCGTTATAAATGACGCGCCGTCGGTGAATTCAACAAAATTCCGAAAAATTCTATCGTTACTCGTCCCTTTCCACCTTTATCTCACAAAACTATTTTTTTCTTTTTCAAATCATACTTTAAAACTTTAACGTATATTTTATAATATCCCCCTGAAATCTACAATCTCTGAGCCGGCACGATACCGACATTTCTATACGGATCGAATTTTCACCAAATATTCTCATCAGGATTGCAGAAGATCGCGGAGGCATCGGTGACTCTGACGGAGCTGAACGAGACTCTGGCCGTGCAGAAAATCAAGGTGGCCGATCAGACGAAGAACTGCGAGCAGCTGCTCGCGTCTGTCGGCGAGAGCACGGACGTCGCGATGCGGAAGAAAGAGCTGAGCGAGCAGAAGAGGGAGGAGATCCAGGACCAGAAGAAACTAATCGCCAAGGAGGAAGCGGAAGCCAAGGAGGTGCTGGCGGAAGCCCAACCGGCTCTCGACGCGGCTAAACTCGCGTTGGGCGAACTCGAGAAAGCGGATATCACCGAGATAAGGTTCGCCGAGTCAATGTGCCCGTCCCATCGCAGATCTTATTCTGAAATGCGAAACTCGCGCATTTATTGCCCACCGAAGCATTCAGTATCGGGCTGCAGATTCGTTAAATGATCGACGATTCCGGTAATTCAGATCCTTCGCCACTCCGCCCGAGCCGGTGCAGACCGTCTCGGAATGCGTCGCGATACTCCGAGGCGTCAAGGACGTGTCCTGGAAAGGGGCGAAGGGAATGATGAGCGACCCGGGCTTCTTGAGGAGTTTGCAAGAGATGAATTGCGACGAGATCAGTCTGAAGCAGCAGCAAGCGGTACGATCGCATCTGAAGAAGAGCGACAAGCTGGATCAGATGCAGGCGATCAGCAGAGCGGGGTACGGCCTGTACAAGTTTGTACTCGCCGTTCTCGATTATTGCGCCGTTTACAAAGAGGTATTCATTAAGAGCTTCGAAAGCTCCCCCTTTCCTCCTTTCTCCACTTATTCCTTCTTCTCCGCTTCTCGTCACTCAGAATTAGATTTGCCCCTCTGATATTTAATTTATATAAATAAATATATATATTACAAGATAATTTATGCAATCCAATTAGCGAAATAAATTTACTTTTAATTAGATGAATATTTCGAGGATCAACTTTCTCGACAAAACGACAGATTTAACGTTTCCTATCCATTTATACTGATAACATAGCTGTGATACGTTGTTGCAGGTAAAACCGAAGATAGAAAGAGTCCGAGAACTCGAGGGGGAATCGAAAAGAACCAAGCGTGCCTTGGAGAAAGAGCAACGTGAATTGAAGCGACTAGAGAAGATGATCAACGAGCTGAACGTGAAGTACGAGATCGCGATGATCGAGCGACAGGAACTTCAAGACAAAACGGACTTGCTGCAACGGCGTCTCCTGGCCGCCGATAAGCTAATCTCCGGTTTGTCTTCCGAAAACGAACGCTGGCGAAAGGATCTGCAGACTCTGCAGGACGATTTGGAAAAGATCACGGGAAACTGCCTGTTCAGCGCGAGCTTCCTCGCTTACAGCGGTCCGTTCTCCTACGAGTTCCGGAATGAGATGTATAGCGATTGGGAGAACAGTATCCTGGAAAAGGAGTTGCCTCTCTCGATACCCTACAGGCTCCAGGAACACTTGAGCAACGACGTCGAGATCAGCACGTGAGTGATTGGATCCGACCGTTATATTTAAGTGTCTATTAGTGATACGATTTACATCGTGTATATTTATCTCCCATGTAGGAATTAAAGTGGCGAAGATTGCAGAAATTTCGAATTATAGTAACTTGAAAGAAGCTGATGCAATGGATTATACGCAATTTTCTCGAAATTTACAATGAATTATAAAATCAATATTATATATTAATTTCAACTCTAGATTTACTTGATAATTTTAGATTATAGTCAGCCGGATTACGCAAACAGCTTTTGGAAATTTCCGTCCAATAGATGTAATTTTGTGAAGTTTAGTCAGAAACTCCGCGACGAATATCGGGAGTTTCCAATGTCTGATAATGATATCGTTTGAAGATGGAACTCGGAAGGTCTACCGCCGGATGAGCTCTCCGTGCAAAATGGCATATTGGCCACAAAAGCGTCCAGATTTCCGCTTTGCATCGATCCTCAGCAACAGGCGCTGAATTGGATCAAGCAGAAGGAGCAGGAGAAAAATCTGAAGATTCTCTCTTTCACGGACGCGGACTTCTTGAAGCAGGTAGAATCGGCGATCAAGTACGGCTTGCCGGTGCTCTTTCAAGATGTCGAAGAAGTCGATCCCATTCTGGATAACGTTCTATCCAAGAACATTCAGAGTAAGTCGTGAATCTCGAACGTATATGGAACGACGCTTCGGTTCACGGAAAGAGGAAACATTTGTCGAGTTTAATGAAATTTCACTTTAATCGAACGTCTCGATAGCCGTCGCAGGCCGAATGTTTGTCATTCTCGGCGACAAGGAGGTGGACTACGATCCAAGGTTTCGTATATACCTGACGACGAAAATATCTAACCCGTTATTCGATCCCGCCATATACGCGAAGGCACTTGTCATCAATTATACGGTTACCACAGCGGTGAGTAAATGTTATTATATAATTATAATTGTCATGTAATTCATTTCCACGCTGAAAATAAATCACCGAATATCATCAATCATATATCATATAATTATGAAATTAAATATGTATAAAATCGTCATAAAAACCATATATCTTACCACTATAAAATACTAAGCAACAATTGATCCGTCTCTAAATAAAAATCTCACGGCTCTCAGGGCCTGGAGAATCAACTGTTATCGGTGGTGGTGCGATCCGAGCGGCGGGATATCGAGGAGCAGCGTGAAACGTTGATCTTGGAAAGCAGCGAGAACAAAAAGCTGCTGCAGAACTTGGAGGACAGTCTCCTGCGCGAGATCGCCGCGGGCAACATGCTGGACAACGTCGATCTGATCGAAACCCTGGAGAACATCAAGTCCAGCGCCAACGAGGCGATGAGCAAGCTTTTCCTCGCCCAGGTCACCGCGTCCGACGTGAACAAGCTGCGCGAGGGCTACCGTCCGGTGGCGGAGCGAGGCGCCGTCATGTTCTCCGTGCTGGCCGACATGGCAATCGTGAATCCCATGTACCAGTACTCCTTGATCAGTTACATCGAGGTGTTTCTTCGTTCCCTGAAGAGATCGCTGCCGGACCTGGTGCTGAGCAAGCGATTGAGGAACATCATCCCGGTGCTGACGAAGAACGTGTACGATTACGGCTGCACTGGTATTTTCGAGCGGCACAAGCTGCTCTTCTCCTTGCAGATTTGCGTGAAAATAGAGCGGAGCGTGGGAAACGTACGGCAGGAGCAGCTGGATTTCTTCGTCAAGGGTAGCATGGCCTTGGACAAGTCGGTCAAGTCGAACCCCGCCAGGTGGCTGCCGCAGACAAGCTGGGAGGACGTTCTCAAGCTAGCGAGCGACTTCCCCGATAAGTTTGAACAGCTACCGGAGGAGTTACGGGACTGCGAGGAAGAGTGGAAGGAGGTAGGAAACAACATGGGAACTCGAAGTGATGAAACCAATTCGGGAGACCTTCGATTCCCCCTTTTCTGCTGTCTATTCGCTGTCGTGTTGCAGCGAAATGGTGTTGGACAATGTTATTATTATGGGACTGATCGGACGTTAATCGCCACGTCAGTCACCAGTGACTGACGCTGAACTTTCTGTTCGGGCCGCGTCAGTCACCGGTGGCTGACAGTAAAAATACGATATAAAAGTGAAAAAATTACATAGTCTTAATAAATTCTAAGTAATATCAGGATCGTATCATTAATGTACTGAAATATTTCTTATCAAACAATTTTAATGGATCTCATTGAAGCTTTATTGCGCTTGGCATTGCTATACCACAATAGCCAGCGCACTTCCAAGCAGCGCGCGTGGCCTGACGGAGATTTCCTCCGAAATGCGCGTGGCGGTTAACGTGTTAATCGCTCGTTTCAGTGGTACGATTCGGACGCGCCGGAATCGGCGGAATTTCCGTGCGGCTACTCCGAGCGATCGACGCCTTTCGAGAAGCTGATGCTGCTCCGTTGTTTCCGCGTGGACCGCGTTTACCGCGGCATCGTCGGTTACATCACCGAGATTATGGGCGAGCGGTACATCACGCCTCCCCAAGTGAACCTAGACATGATCTTCGAGGAGAGTACGCCCGCGATGCCCGTGGTTTTCATTCTAAGTCCCGGCTCGGATCCCACCTCCGAACTGATGAAGTTGGCCGATCGATACGGCTGCGGCGGAGGAAGGTTCAAGTATCTCTCGCTCGGGCAAAATCAAGAAAAGGTACGAAGTGAATTTCAGCGTGAATTTCTTCTCGTCGAAACCATCATTCTCTCGCGAAAAGTAATTCACCGCAGCTTGCAAGAATCAATGCCGCGTGGCTCTCGTTCACTGTTCCTCGTGTCTTACTGATTGAATATCTGAGAGCCTTAATATAAAGTATTGTTTGATTTCTTTGTTTTGTCAAAACTATATCCGTTATACGCGGAAGAAACAATTCCATTGGTGTAATTGAATTTCCCGTTATCTAGGAACCAGACGAAAGCTCGGTTGTGAGTACGAGAAAATTCCTTTAGATTTCCGCTCAGTCAATTGCTCTCGATTGGGAGAAGATTCTCAGCCACGTCTTAATTTTACAGCTGAATATTCACACGAATGTTTTCAGTTGCAGTAATAGAGATATTATTTCTTGTCACCGAGTTTTCCCCATCTGGCCCCTATCCAGTTGCAGGAACTGAGACTTTTCTCCGTGTAACGGATGTAAAGAGAGATATTGATTATCTCTTTTATGAGATAGATCGCGATGGACTTGTTGGAGTCGGCGATAGCAAGAGGTCAATGGCTGACGTTTCAAAATTGTCACTTGCTGCTCTCCTTCATGAGGGATCTCGAGAAGACTTTGAGCAACATGGAACAAGCTCATCCTGACTTCCGCCTGTGGCTCACCACGGAACCGACCCCTAACTTTCCAGTCGGCGTACTACAGCTATCGTTGAAAGGTATCGGGGAATTTCGATTGACATGGCTTTCGACATTCTCGCGAACGCGACTCGTTTGCAGTGGTGACGGAGCCGCCGAGTGGGCTGAAGTCGAATCTGCAAAACACGTACTTCAACATGCGGCCGCAGCTCTTAGAAAGCTGCTCTCATCCTCTTTACAAGCATCTGATCTACGTTCTGGCGTTTTATCACGCGGTTATCCAGGTGAGCGGCCGCTCGAGGCGATCGTGTCGACTAAATCCAGCTGGAGGAGCACCTTTGATGAAAAGTCAAGTTTCATTTAATTGAATTGAATCGCAGGAGAGGAGGAAGTATGGGAAAATCGGGTGGAACATAAGGTACGATTTCAACGAGTCGGACTTCAACATATGTATTGCCATCTTGGACACCTACTTAACGAAGGCGCTCGCGATAAAGGACTCTAGGATATCGTGGAACAGCCTTAAGTATCTAATCGGAGAGGTACGTACCAATTTTGTAACAATTGAAATATTCGAGATATGAGAAGTTTCGTTAGCAATTTTCAGAGTGCGAAACTTCAAATTTCATTCATTATCGACGGATTTGTTTGTTACTATTTTTATTATTTTTTCAGACATTCTACGTATTATAAATTCCCTTTTATTAATATTTTTTATAACGCAATTCGCTTTCTTTTATTCGATAACCAGGTGATGTACGGTGGGAAAGTGATAGACAGCTACGATCGGCGTGTCTCCTACACATACATGGACGAGTACTTCGGTGATTTTCTATTCGACGAGTTCCAGCCGTACCACTTTTACAAGAACGACATCGTCGACTACGTAGTACCGCCGGAAGGAAGCCGCGACGATTATTTGCAATTTATCGAGGAGCTGCCGCTGGTTAATACGCCGGAAGTATTCGGACTACATCCGAACGCCGAGATCGGATACTTCACGCAGGCGGTTAAGGATATATGGAGGCACCTTATTGAACTTCAACCGCAAACAGGTGCGAATTCGCCTGTTTTATGTTTTTCTTATCTCAAATATTATCATTTATTATATACCTATTACATATTCATTTTATACCTATTATATTACATTATTTTTATTATTTTAATTTATATTTATATAATTTTTAATTACATCAATTATAACTTTTCACAATATTTCTTTCCCTGATATTAATTATTATACTTAATTCATCATGAGTATCTTAACTTGACTCTGGATAAAACTTGAGAAAAATTAAGCTAAAAATAAGAGAATGAAAATTCAATTGGGCATCAAATCAATGTATTGAATCGGTAGCAAAAGTTGCGAACTTTGGTAGCCGGCATTTTGTTCGTGAAAAAGAAACGATTCCGATTATGCCCAGGTATAACTCGAGTATCGCGATTCTCATTTTACTTTTGCTATGATAAATGATCGAGCTCTCTCGGATGAAAAGGCAGAAGTTATCATTTTACCGAGTTTACCGCGTTCTACGATCAATCACGGCGTTCTGTAAAGTGACGAAAATCCCATCGAATTTCCAGCGGTGAGTGTCACCGGCGTCAGCAAGGATGAATACATCGACAACGTGGCGAGGGAGATTCTGACTAAAGTACCTGTGCCGTACGACATTAACAAAGTTAAGAATAATTTCACCGTGGTGACGCCGACCGCGATCGTGCTCTTTCAGGAATTGGAGAGGTTCAACAAATTGATAGAAGCGATAACGAGGATGCTGAATCAGCTGATCAAGGTCGGCCGACAAACCCTCGACACTTGACTACGTCTGAACAGTTATAGCTTTAAACGTGACAATGCGGGATTGATCGGGAGTAAAATTATGCGGAGTGAAAACGCGTTTCGTCTTAACTTCAGGCTATCGCCGGAGTAAATACGCGTTTCGTCTTAACTTCAGGCTATCGCCGGCGAAATTGGAATGGACGAGACCTTGGAGAATATTTCCACGGCGCTTTATAACGGTACACTGCCCAAGGAATGGGCCAAATTGGCGCCGGACACGCGAAAGAGCCTCGCCGGCTGGATGGACCACTTTCAAAAGAGGATAATCCAATACACTAACTGGGTATGATCGGCGAAACGTTCGAATTATCATAACGCTACTCCACGATTCTGCGCCAACTCGGACGTCTGTCCGTTGAAACTCACACACATTCACACATTGTACCGTTTCCCCGCTATTACACATTATTACGATCGATTATATGCGATTATTAACAACGGTGTGTGTGATTCCGTGGTTATGAAATCACGGAATTATTCGAACGCTGCTCTGTGTAATTTTGCATCTGTGCCGACTTAACACATTGCGGACGGATGACGAGATATCTCGTCTTTCCTATTGCGTCGTTAGAGGCGAAAGCATACCCGGCTACTGGGTACGGTTAGCAATAAAATGTCTAGTCCGCAATGTGTTAAGCTATCATCTGTCTGTTGAAGAAAACGCACACACCCATACATTTCTACTATTATATATTATTGCAATCGATTGTACGCAGCGATGAACGATGATATATAATTTTATATTTATGAATTATTAAGCTGCTACGATTGTACGATTATTAATAGTGATATATAATTTTGTATTTACGAATGATCAGAATGCTACTCTGCCGATTCTGTGTATGTCAACTTGGACACTTGCCGAGAAAACACATGCACACGCTCGCATTACACCCTCTCCTCGTTTTTCCGCCACCATATATATTATAACTGATGGTACAATAATTAGTGGAAGAGGAGTATGTGATTCTCTATTTGGATTACTCCATGATCAGTAATATTTTCCCTCTCTCTTTCTTCCTCACGGTAGTCCGGCGCGAACGAACCCATTGTACTTTGGCTGTCCGGATTGCACGTGCCGGAAACTTATCTGGCAGCTTTAGTGCAAATGACTTGTCGCAAGAACAACTGGGCCCTCGATCGTTCCGTCATTTACACGGTGGTGTCGAAGTTCACCAAGCCTGACGATGTAGAAGAAAGGCCTGATGAGGTGAGCACCGGCACTATTTACCGGGTCCGTTCGACAGTGTCGTGTTTGATTTCTTGAACATCAATGCCACATTATTCCGCGACTTGTGCAGGGCTGTTACGTGCACGGATTATATTTGGAGGGCGCTAGATGGGATATGGAGGAGCATTGCTTGAAGAGATCCAATCCGAAGGTTCTCACCGAGGAACTGCCGATATTGACTATCATACCCACCGAAGTTCATCGATTAAAGTTGCAGGTACGATTTAATTAACGCTAATTAGCGTCAGAATAAGGATAGTTCGCTGTTTTACACGGCTCAGTTAGGGTCGGAAGAATCGTTTGGTAATCACGTTTTTCGTGTATGTTGCAGTCTCCGTAGATTTTGCGAATTTCGAAAGCAGACGCAATTCTATTTTCGTTGCAGAACACGTTCAAAACTCCAGTATACACTACATCGGACCGGCGAAGTGCCCTCCACGTCGGTTTAGTGTTCGAAGCAGATTTAGCGACGCCGCAACACATCTCGCATTGGGTGCTACAGGGTGTTTGTCTAGTGTTAAATACAGATTGAAGCGTGGTTTCCACGACCGGCGATTGAACTACCGTATCCTTCATGTATTTTGTATACTAACGTCATAATTACTCGATACTAGTCACAGAATAGATAAGACCTTTTTCACGATAGATAAATATTCGTTCGATTGTTCCTCCATGTTATTATTTAAACACGTTACTTCCCGACTCTGCATTTTATACACAGCAATTTGCAGTAACATGAATAATATATTTTATTTATTACACAGCCGATACTTGAGCTGCGGCAAACATAAGTTGTAAAACGAGCTGTCGACAAAGTTATTCAAATTTTGCCACTTTACCCAGCGATCGTTCCTCAATTGTCCCGCATTTTTCGCCTTTCCAACAAAATGCGGATCTACGATCAGCAAGTACACGCCTTTACTTCCAGCGTGCAATCCTACTATACACTTACTGGAACAGTCTTTATCTCCACCCATCATAATGGGACTACCGAATTGCTCGAAATGTTTTTTAATGTTGTCTACCTGATCTATCAGCTGTCTCCCGCTCGATACGTGAATTATTTTGCTGAGAATGTCATATAGCTGGTTTAATACAACGGACACCTATAAAGAACATTTACTATCTTATTATCCCCAAAGGCTGGTGTGAGTTTGTGGAAATTAAACTTGAGCTTACTTCGAAACTTCCTATCCATTCTCTCGATCCAATAAATGTCCTGTCTTTGTCTTCCACTGCAACGAGTGCTTTTTGTATCTCATCAATACTTGGGACGGTCTCTTTCGAGCTCTCATTACTTAGGACCCAGGAACAGATAGTTTGTAGTGTTCTATACCCACATCCCCAACCCTGTGTAATTATAAACTATGCTAGGTTAAAATATCTATTTGTATAATATAACGTTAAACAGAATTTTAATCATTGCAACAACCGTAATTACACACCCTGTCGTTGAAACCATCGCAACCATAATGCCAGTACTCATATTGCCCTTGTATTAAATACGTTTCACCATTATCTGGTAAAGCTAGATCCTCGTGGACATTTTTCAATAAATTAGTCGAACAATTCACTGTCATTCTTTACTTAGGTCATTAATGAAGCCTAGACGAAAATAATTACCTGTTCTCTTTTGTACTATTTTTCTTTCATTTGCTCAGTAATTCGAAATTCTTTGCATGAATGTTCGAACATCTGTTTGTCAGAAAAATTATTTACAAATATTATGTATATACATACATAAGTGATATAATTATGATAGTTTAAAAAATAGTAAAACTAGTTATATTATTTGTGTACTAAATTAATTATTTCTAATTAACATAATTTAAAAATAATCTATCACTTACCTCTTTTATCTTTAAACACGCCAACCGCGTGATCTGGCACCGTGCAATTCACCTCCTTTGACAGCTGTCACAATGCATGAATGCATATTCGGAAATGGATGCGTAAGGAGAAATTTTTAGTTATTAGAGATCTAGTAAATAGACATTTCTGACATCTAGCGTACGCTAATTGCATTAATACATTTACTAGGCATAATGTCACGAAGAGTTTTTTTACATCTGCGTATTCATACGTCATAATTATTGTTCACTCAAGGAAAGATATCCTCCAATATTATTCAGGGAAAGAAATAAGAAATCTCAATGTTATTCAAACAAGATTAGAAACAGACCCGTTATTTTTATTAGTCTCCGAAGTCTCCGTTATGAGTCACCACTATCGTTAAGAAAGAATTGAAGTAGTACGACTCAACGATTAGTCAGACAGAGTTTACCTTTCAATATGACTCAGAATGTAAACAACTTTCTATTTTTAGTATAGCTTAATAGCAACTTAGAAGAACCTTTCATTTTCAGGTGGCACAACTTCAATCTCTCCTTTAATGATCTTTTCAAGGAATTCGGATACATAAAAAAGAAACCAATGCAAGACGCATCGAATGGATCCAGAAGCATGTACCAATCATACTTATACTTTCCCAATGTTGCCAAACGAATCTTGGGCAAACAAAGAAAGTTAATCTTTCTGAAAAATTTACGTTTACTTTTATTAATTTTTTTCAAGCAAATCTGGCTAATATAACGCAGCTTAGAAAAAAGCTGAGAAAAAAGCAGATCCAGTGTATACCGTTCGCTGTGTTAATCTTGTCTTCTATGAGAAAAATACCACTGTTTGTGCAATTACATTGTCATGATCTCAACATGTCTCACGAAAAAATGTTTGACACTTCGACAATTTTACACTTCTCTGAGTATTTTACTAATCCTCTTTCAAGGTAAGCGGTAGATATGACAATGATCCGCGAATTTTCTCAGAATTCCATTGAATATTCGGATGTGTCAAATTATGTTAAATCTTCCATACATATAAGGAACCTCCAGTTAAAGACGCCTTCATTGTACACTTTCGTTAAAATTCTATTTTATCGCGAAAAGAAATATCTTCATTTTGTATTCTTATATTGAAGGTTTATAGAGTGCTTGAAAAACAAAATTTTTTAATGTCATTATTGTCTCAAAATATGTTTGTCTAACATTGAATATAACTTATCGCTTAAGGTGGAGTGTGCTCAAAGTAATATACTCAAATGTAAATTTATCATTTATAGTGAATCATGGTGCAATACCGCTAGCAACTCAAGAAGATTTACTACATTCGTTCAAGAGCTATTACGACGTGGCGATGTTTCACTATACGGTACCAAAGGAAGTATTAAGGGCTACATGGCAGTTTGCTGCGTTTATGGATGATCCAAGTTGTCAACCTCGGGAAGTATACATGTAAATAATTTGATCTTTCTTATTCATCTATTGCATTGTTATATATTTAATTATTATTGGTATATTTAAATATAAAACGTAAGTTGTAACTTTCAGACACTTAAGATTTGGTAGTTATCCAATTATATCCGCAAACAATGAATCATTCTTCATAAATACACATGTCAAAAGCGATCATGACATCATAGTCACAACTATGACAACTTATCAGCCAAAACTTCAAACTGTTGTGCCAATTTATGGGCCTGAAGCTGGAAATTGGTTTGTGGGAGCTTATATGTCTCCATGGGACCAAAGAGTACAACAGCAAGTATGATTGTTTTGTTTAAACACTGCTAGTATTTGTTAGTTCCTTTTTTATTTATTCGATCATATATCAGAGAACCTTCATTATCTATACACATACATGATCTTCCTTCAATAAATAGAATTAAATTATAATTAAAATAAAATTATATAAAAATTAGAGACTTACATATTAAATTTATTATCTCTGATATCCTTTCATCAAATAAAGAATTTAGTAATTAATTCTCTCCCTAATAATAATAATAATAATAATAATAATAATAATAATTGGAAACCGATTGATCCAAATTAATAATTATAAAACTATGTTTGATATATACTTCATTCAAAATGATTCAATTCATTTTTCTAATCTAATTCTATATTTCAGGGTCTAGGACATATATGTCAATACAGCATAGGTACAGTAGCTTTATGGTCACAAGTAGATAATATTGAAAACATTCCTATTGGTTACGAAATGACATCGCAAACGAGTACGATGACAACGTACTACAAGTAAGATCATTATTATTTTATTTCTCGCAGCCTATCATTATTCAAAGTCTACTTGATTCTATCTCGAGCCTTATATATTTTTTTTAATACGAATAAAAGGAAATAAAAATCTATTTAAACAATAGGTAGCTATAATTATAATTTATCAATTGTAATTTCTCGATTTTTCCATCCAGAATATATATTCCATCAGGAATATGGGCTTTCCGTGTATCTATATGGAACTGTAGTTTTACCCTGTCAAGTCATCACGATATTCGTGAGCCATGCATCAATAGCATGTCCTTAAAGGGACGCGCTTTACCAGTATCCAATCATCTTCATCCTGAGAAGTCTATAAGTCTGAATACGTATGCTAATTATAGCTTTATAGAATCGTCTCCTTACGAAGATAGTTATTACTACTTATCGATAGTTTCGAGCAGTATCATCAAGTTCAGCATTAAGGTCGATGTATCTGGTAAGTTGGCAAGTTTTACCTCTTAAAATTGATGGTTGATTTTTCTTCAGTTTCTAATATTTGCAGAAATAATTCGCACTGTAAACACGTTAGGATCGCAACATTCTATTACTAAATACCCCATCACGGAATATTGTATTATTATCTTCAAAGTAGTATTGTTTTTCAGAATGTCCAATCAGAGTGACGGAGGAATTTTTCAACAAAGAATATATCAATACTGCCGTAAGTTTTAATTCCATAACTGGTCCAAATGCCAAAGATTTCATAAAACGTGCGCAGTATTACGAGGAAAATAATACCAGCGACAAATATGTGTCTCACAAAATGCAAGTTTACCGGAGAAATGGGGAACGTAACATTAGAGATGTTTGCATGCCACGCCATCAACTGGTTCGTGTGAAACACGCTGAGGCGCTTTCGACCATTTATCTCTTACAGGTATTTCTCGAATCGTTAATCATGAGATGAAAATATTTGAGTTGATTACAAATCGCTAGTTGTTGGACTATCAAAGTAACAATCAATCGTATCCCATTTTGTTGTACTTTTCTTTGTTTAGTGGTCCTTTTGTATTTATGACTTGTGCACACGTTTCAGGGAAAGGAGTGGTTGAATTCGCGTTTGATGTTGACGGATTTGGTCCCCCTAATGACGCAATTCAGTATTTTGCCAATGGTAGATACTGGTGGTACGCTCGACATCAGTGCGCGATTACAAACGGAAAAGGTGAAAGATCTCTTTAATAGTCGCGAGAGAGAATTAGTTCTCATAGATTATAATTAATTTAATCGACGAACCGGTCAGAACATATATTTATATTTTTGCAACACTTTTTCAGCTGACGTCAAAAATATTAGTACTGGTAACAATGTGTATTCAAAGAGGTCGTATACCTAAATTGGGGGAGTACCATTCATGTCAAAACGATGCATTATCGGCGAACTTGTCCTCGTTCGACATGCATAACGCGAGTTTGTTAATAGCGTATCCACAACCGGATATGTGGTATATTATTTTTGACACGATATGTTATAATTATGAGTAAGTGCTGTGTAAATAATCTAACTTCTCACTATATAAATATTCATTCTTCAATCATATTACATGTGTAAATTCAGAAGTTTATTCTCAATTTAGCAATCCGATACGTTGCCCATTCGAGGATATTTCAGTGCTGTTGAACGTACGCATCAACAAGTGCGTGTATCCCGATCCAAGTCCTTGCGGTGATCACGGCGTTTGTCGGGAAATTCAGAGAAACAGTCTCCATTACACAACATGCAATTGCTTCGAGGGTAATTAGCGTAACCTGATAAATCCATTCAGTTTTTCCCATTCAGAATTATTCGCACTGATTCATTCGGTAATATTCTGAAAACAATTTTCGTTCCAGATGATTTAACAATTAAAAGGAACCTAGCTATTCAGAGATTTGCTCAAGTGATTGAAAAAGTTCCTTAGAATTGCTTATTGTCCTATATTTTAATTCTCTCTCGTAAGTCATCATTAACTATAACACCTTAATTAATTAATAGGTTACGCGGGATACGATTGCAGTGATGCTTTAAGCACCACCGCCGCCATTTCCTCAGTCCTGAGCGCCACGATGCTCACTTTAAGCAACGCTTTCTTCATACCAGCCATTTATTTAGCCGTGAAACGAGAACTGTACGCAGAGGGCTTGGTGTACTCAGCCACCATGTTGTTTTCGACCTTCTATCACGCCTGTGATCAGAGTGACGGGCGATTCTGCATCATCAAGTACGAAGTACGAGATTCACTCGATTCACTTAACACATATCTTTAGGGACTTTTATCTGAGAATTTATCTAGAGAAGCGTGTATATATATAATTTTCCAGTGATCTGACCGTTCTGCTATTTCCAGGCGTTACAATACAGCGACTTTTTCTCCAGTATTCTCGCCTTTTGGGTGACGCTGGTGGCGATGGCGAAGTTGACCAACAAATTCGTGTTGATGTGCCATATGACAGGAGTGTTCGTAATCACGGTCACCGTGCAGATCAATAAAATGTGTCTGAACAGTATATTGATACCGCTGATGATGGGTATACTCATACTTGTGAGTCCCCCCTGAAAAAGTAAATCTCGAATTAAAGAGGAATTCTAGCACCTACTTTTTACGGACGTGCATTGCAGATTTTCGTGCACACTTATCGCATTTTTCGCACCGGCAAGTGGAAGAAGCCGAAAGTCAAGGCGATAGTGGGTCTGTTGTTCGCTATAGTGGGTATCTCGCTCTATTGCTTCGTCGAAACCGAGGGAAACTACGGAGTGCGTTCGTGGTGTATTTGAAATCCTTTTTTTTTTACTGGGGACAGTTCGCAAAAATGTCTTCATTAATTCCTTCGTTGCAGTATATTCACAGTATGTGGCACATCGTCATGGCGACGTCGCTGATATTCCTGCTGCCACCTAAACGTGCTACCTCATGGAGAAACGCTTCCTCGAACGACGACATCGAGTCGCGAGACTGCAAAGAACATCACGGAACTCCGACGTTCACGATAGTCGAACGGGCAAAGTAAATTGAAACAGGTATAACTTTATGAGATTAAGAGAGATTAAATCAAAATTTGTGGAACTTCTTTGCGAAAACACCGCAGATATGTGTAATTTTGAACTTTACTTGAAGTTGATTTAATATTATCACGTTGTTTTCGAGAAGTTATTTCTCTCATTATAATAACGAACAATAAGAATAAGGAGGAAATCGTAAGTTTACGGCAAATTTATATTTTATATTTTGTGCCAAAATGTATACACACATGAGACTTAATATTTTATAAGCGCAAAAATATTATGTATATTTTATATCAGAGTATATCTGAATAAAATATAAGACATCTCGATAAATGCTGAAGTTTGGTCGACCTCATCTCGGCTGTCGAAAAAGAAAGTCAAACAATTTTCGTCGCAGATAATGATTTGTCGTAGATTTTTCAACTGTCGGTGTGACTCCAAAAAATCTCGAAAAAATCTGCAAAAAATATTAGACTGGCGAGAGAAGTTGCGAGAAGTTTTTGAATCCTCTTATTGAAGAAATATATATTATAATGTTATTAAAAAGAGATATATACATTTTATAATATATATTATATATAATATCCTAGGATGCTTTAGCTAATCTCTTCTACCTTTGTTTTGCTAGTGGAGCAAAATAAAGGGGTGATGAAGGGAAGAGGGGAGAATATAAGAAGTGTAATGATAACCGATGAGCGGCTTTTGATGGGAGAGGAGGAGAAGACGAGAGAGGAGAGGGCTCGGTCTTGAGTGAGCTTTAGCGATAAGGCAGGAAGTGACAAGTTAAGCGCGTATCAGACTACGCATTGAAGACTAAGATTTCGTGTTGGAGATCGGGAGTCTTGAACAATAAGAACGATGCGAGGTTTTAAATGAACGAGCTTCGATTAAATTAGGAGTGAGCACGTCGCTGCTCTACGATATAAAGACCGAGTGGAGTCCTTTTGCAGAGTAACTTTTAGTAAACGGTCTCTCCGATCGGGGATAAATCAAATTTCCTTTTGTTTTTAATTTTTAAAGAGAGATGTTATCTCTCGCATATTATTTCGCTATGTTCCGCAGAAAATGCCGTCAACCGAAACTTCTCGATATTTAAAGTGAAATTATCATCGGCGTCAAATGTCTTCTTTGAAACATTTTTTTTTTTTTCATTTAAAGTATTCGTTTTAGTTGACATATTTTAAGGCAGAATTGAAAATTCGTCGGTCATCGCACGTCCTGTCTCGCCACATGCCTCATTTGTATATGCGATCCATACATTCCATGACATACGATACGATACGCCGACGTTACGAGCGCCAAATCTTGCCCGATAATCTTGCATTCTTTCGGCCGGGAGTAGCGATGAAGAGGACGTTCCAACCCATAGAAGCAACAAGTACTCAAAATTTGATTACGTAAAACCACTCGGGCCAGCCAAGGAAAAGATAAACGAAATTGCATTCGAACAATATGTTGGGCGAGAAATGGAAAAGGGACTTATTTACGATCGGCTCGTGGCGGAGCATATCTTGATTTTACTTACGGCCCCTTGTAAACCGTTAATGTTCACCCCGTAATGTATTCTTGTCGCGGTATGTATTGTTACATCATTCATTTTTATACGTCATCATTATTGCTTATTAATCACTTTCTATTGGACGTAGGTGTCGGATTATACTCGGGGGAATTGNCGGTTCCCCCCCCCCCCTGCCGATTATCACGGATGGTGTCGACGCTTCTCGTGAGAGGCGCCCTTGTCCGCGCTCCCCTTGGCGCCCGTTCGCGACCCTTAACGATAGCCGGCGAACACGACTGCGCCGCATTTGCGTTTCGGCAGTCGCGGAGCCGGCATCGATCGTCTCTCCTAATCTCTTCCTCATTTTCTTTAACACAACGTGCGTGTGCGCGAGTCGCACGTAAAACCGGCACACGATCGCATCTCGGTGAGTTCGATTTTTTCCGACACCTCGGCTACTCTCGCTCCGGTTTTTCTCGCGAGGGAAAACACGCGGTAGCCAGTTCGTCAGTCGCGCTAAGATTCTCGCGTGATCGCGAGAACGGATCCTCAATGAAATCCTGCCAGTTGCAGAACCCGCCCGCCGTAACAGTCTTGCGACACCGATTCTCCGAGCAACGGGATTATTCGCCGGATTTGTTCGAACCGCGCCTCAGGGTCACCGGCGGCAGCGCATTCTGAAGTTCACGGGTTCAACGAATCCAGCGGTCGCGGCGCCGAATTCCCTCGAATCGCCGACGACGACGACTCCGTCGTTTTTCGCGATTAGTTCTCGTCTTTTCCCATTCGTCGTCATTCGACCCACCGCCGAGGGGGATGCCGGGCCCGAAGGTGCTCGTAGATTCGCCGAGATTGCGGTACACGGACGACTTCGTCGAGGCAGAATACGAGTATCAGACGACGAGCGTGACCGAAACCGGCGGCGACAATGACGACGAAAGTGCGTACACGGTGAGTGCCCGTCTGTTCATTCGTCTGTCCATCCGTCGATCGATCCATTGGAAGTGTGCCGACGCGCTTATCGCGCGATACGGCGATGCCCTCGGTGCGAAATGTACCCCGCGGCTCGATCTCCTGTGCAACAAGCAAGGATCCTCGGGGATCCTTCGTCGAACGATCGTCGTGATTTTGTGATCCGGAGGAGTCAACACACAAAGTGGCTCTCGATACGCCCGGCTGTCTGTAAGCGAAGCGTTTATTTACGTTATTCAGCCATGGGAATAAGAGTAAAACGAGAAGTAAACAAAAACCTTAAACGAGACAAGGAGAGTCGCTTGAAATGAATTGATACATTAAATTACCCCCCGATGGAAATATGTTGCTGAAAGCACCGTGGAACCTTGAAAGATTCTAACTTTTTTTTACGAAATTTCATATAATGTTGTGAAAAGTTAAATTATACTGTTGAAAGGTAATAAAATCGCTTCTTTGAAATATTAGATATGAAATTTGCTGAATCTTTACCGAAATATTGCTGAAATAATAAATGGGGTCAATTGAGAGAGAATTTCAAATTCATTTCACAAATAAAATTTCACTATATTTTCGGCGAATTTTCATTCCCATCAAGATAAAAAATAAAAACGCGTTATTTTCAAGTTTCAATTTCGACATTATCATCGAGTAAAGATGCGAGACATGTTTGTGAAATGTTGATAGATGTTCCTGCGTTTACGTTTACTCGTGTCCTTTTGTCTCGTGCAATACAAAGCTTTGAAACACATGTACGCGCGCGCGACTTTAACTGCCTCGCTATAACCGACACTGTCGGATGAAGAGCTGTTTCGGTGGAGTAGCCCGCACAATCACTCATTCGGAGCAACGGTCGCATAGTTTTTCCCTAGGAAGGAAATGTGAAAAGGGTACATTTTCAAATGTTTTCAAATTAGAATATTTCCATTTTCACAAATTCACGCTAGATGACAATTCAATTAGTACAAAGGTTCAAAAGACATCCCGGAGATGTTCGAATACTTCTAGGATGTCTTTTGAATACGTATGCTATATGGGAAAATTCATGATCCTCTGAGGGCTAATCGTGAATCTTTCCTTCTAGTGAACTCTAGTGAGAAATTGAAATTTTCTAATTCGAAAGTTTTTTTTGAAATGGTCACTCTTCGTGTTTCTGCCCTAGAAAATAATTATGCGATCTCTGTCCAGATGCAACAGATATTGCATTAATAATCGTATCTTATATATATATAGGGTGTCGCAAAAAATGTTACCACACTTTGATTGTTTATAAAGTGTTTATTAAATATCGTACAATGTTTATAACGAACTACATTAGTGCAGTAACATTTTTTTGCGAGTATATATCTTTTTTTTTTCTTTTTCTTTTCTCTCTCTAAGAAGAATATCGAGCTATTTGGCTTTTTGACAATAAAAGCGAGAACTTTATTCCCCAATATTGCGTTCGATACTCCTTGTAATGGCATTTTTTGCGACTCCTGCATATATTGCACACGTCGAACTTGATATCAAATAACGCGTCAAACGTCATTCGATAATGCATGCCTAATTGTTTTTCCAGTTGATCGCAAGCTCGCGCACAGATTGAGTTCAATTGGGATCAATCGCATCCTGAGTCGCTCAAAAGTCTCGTCCGAATTAAATTCTTTGAACGCGCGCTATCAAGATCAATAAAATTCTTCCGGTCATTAACACAGCTGCCGGTCACGTGAGGATGTGTTGATAGTTAGTGCACGTATCACGCACTGACGCGGGATCGGCAGCGAAATTGTTAAGGGACGTTTTCACTTCGAACATTATTTCAATTGGCCCCAAAATGAAGGTCTTGTTCAATAGACAACTGGATATTATCATATTAAAATCATAAATTATTATTGCTGTTGTTGTTGTTGTTGTTGTTATTATTATATCGTTTATTTCTCAGCGCAACTCTGTACAATCGATATAAAATTCAAATTCAAATTCAATTTTTTAACCCGATAAAAAATTCAAGATACATATGTAACTTCTAAGATGGATAGATGTAATTAAGATGAATAGATGTAATTAATGTATTCTCTCTCATCATATTTATTATTATTATTGATGTTATTATTAATTACCTGTTATTAATTCTCAAAAAAATACCCCACACACAGGTGAGACCTACGTCGACGAAACTGCTGATAAGGACAATGTTGAACATCCCTAAGTTAGGTCTGATGCTGGTAGGTTGGGGTGGCAACAACGGCAGCACTTTGACAGCGGCCCTGCTGGCAAACAAGTTTAAGTTATCGTGGGAGACGAAAGAGGGTGTGAAATTTGCGAACTGGTAATGCGTCCTAATAATTCATCTACTGTAGTTGTGCCAGCCAGAGAAAAATTAACTATAAGATTTNCCCCCCCCCCCCCCAAAATTAATGAATTTTTAATCTATTGCTATTTTTTTCTGAAAAAATTAATTTTTCTTGTCATTTTTCATCTTTCAGATATTGATTCATATTTTCTAATCTTTTATATTTAGCTATATAATAATATTTAATACTTTTTTCTTTTACTTAAATATGCAGCGAATTAACGTTTTATCTTTTATTCCGCAGGTACGGCTCGCTGACGCAAGCGTCCACCATCAGGCTCGGTAGGTCGAGCAAAGGGGAAGTGTGCGTACCCATGTCCAGCATGCTGCCCATGTTGAACCCCGAGGATGTTGAGATCGACGGCTGGGACATCTCCGACATGAATCTCGCGGAAGCGATAGCGCGCGCCAAAGTGTTGGACATGAATCTGCAGCTGCAGCTGCGGCCGCACATGGCACATATGCGGCCACGCAAGAGCATATATTATTCCGACTTTATCGCCTCGAACCAAGTGAATCATTTTTCCCGATTATATTCTATGAATTATTACTATTATTGTTATTCTGTAATAATGAAATAATGTTTACAGGGTGAAAGAGCGAACAACGTCATTTCGGGGACCAAGTCCGAGCAGTTGGAGCTGATTCGCAAAGACATCGTGCAGTTCAAGGCGGCGAAGAACTTAGGCCAGGTGATCGTCCTGTGGACCGCCAATACCGAGAGATTTTCCGAGATAATCGCAGGTGTTAACGACACGGCTGACAATTTGCTGAAGGCGATCGAAGAGGACCATTCGGAGATCAGTCCTAGTACTATGTTCGCTGTGGCAGCGGCTCTAGAAGGAGTAAGATATCGTGAGAGAAACACACAGAACTGGGGGGATACCGGTCATATTAACCCATTAGCTGCCACGATCTCCGTTTGGGGATAATAATTTGAATATAATTATACTGTTACACAACTTTTTGTGCGTATATATAACTTATCCGGCCAAAAATTTCAACAAAAAAAATTTGGCAGTTAATGAGTTAAAGTCACATGAGCTCGGAAAACAAGTGAACCCCAAGTGCGCGTAACACAGGTGCTAGATTCGACGACGTGTCCCCTGTGATCGATTACGGAAAGAAGTCCGTGGCTCAATTGCTGATTGACTTTGCGCTCTTTCAGTGTACTTACATCAACGGCTCGCCGCAGAACACGTTCGTGCCGGGCGCCTTGGAGTTGGCCGAGCGGCAGAAAACCTTCGTCGGCGGCGACGATTTCAAATCAGGCCAGACCAAGCTGAAGTCTGTGCTTGTGGATTTCCTCGTGTCGGCCGGCATCAAGCCGGTATCGATCGTCAGCTACAACCATCTGGGAAACAACGATGGTTATAATCTGTCCGCGCCGCAGCAGTTTCGCTCGAAGGAGGTACGTAATGAAAGAGAAACCAGATTGATACGTTTCTCACGCCGAGAGAATTAATGCCGCTCAATCTGCGATCGATCTCCGACACAGATCTCCAAGAGCAATGTCGTGGACGACATGGTGGAGTCCAACAGGATCCTCTACAAGACCGGAGAGAAGCCCGACCATTGCGTCGTTATCAAATACGTTCCCTACGTTGGTAAGATCTCATTGCAACAGTGTATAATATCGCCCACGTAATTGTGCTAACGTCTAGTCTAATCAAAAATAAGTGAAAAGCAAAATATTGTATTTGGATGAGGAAGATATCTCTATTGTGTTCTAGAGATTGGAGGCTACCACTGATAAAAGATTGAGGTGTTCTTATTTAAAATCGTTTTAAAGTCGTTTTTTAGGAGATTTTTAAACGTTTCTTTTGAAGAAACTATGAAATGTGCAGTTCCGAAGTTTTACAAATATTCGTCTGTCTGAACTATGTGCAGTAATTGTTATATATTATTATTTTCAGTATTAATAAAGTTATCAATAATTTTGCGCAACATTGAACGAAAGTCTTGCTCGCATGGGTAGCCACAATTCCGGACGTTGTGAGCTCGTGAAACCACACACGCAACGGTGAAAAAATCTTTAAATTATAAACTTGTAGCTATCGTTCCTACCACAATAGAGAATTAAAATTGATTTTTCAAAAGAATGGTACGACTTAAAAATCGATTTCGGTCAGTCCTTCAGCGCCAACAAGATTATTTATAACTTTACTAATACTGAAGATAATAATATGTAGAAATTACTATACATATAGTTGAAATATAGACATCCGTTTATTCAAAACTTCAGAATTATACGTCTTAATTCTTAAAAAAGAATTTTAAGAAATTATGTACCAAACCGAACGTTCCAAATGAGAACTGGAACGTTGAAACTACCGTCTTTTGACATCCTGATCTTATTTCTTTTATCTTCTTCATAATATCGTTTATTTTTTTCTAGGCGACAGCAAGAGAGCTATGGACGAATACACGTCTGAGATCATGCTTGGCGGCCACAACACTATCGTCATTCATAACACGTGCGAAGACTCGCTCCTAGCATCGCCCATCATACTCGACCTGGTGATTCTCGCCGAACTCTGCTCTCGTATCACTTTTAAACAAGCGGACGACGAAGCCGGAGATTTCTCCGGCTTCCACAATGTCCTGTCAATATTATCTTACTTGTGCAAAGCTCCCCTTGTACCTCGGGGAACTCCGGTGGTGAATGCTCTCTTCCGACAACGAGCTGCCATTGAGAATATCCTGAGAGCTTGTTTATCCTTGCCACCGGAGAACAGCATGTTGCTGGAGCACAAGGTCACTTTCGAGATATAAGAGAGCTGAGAAGGCTGGAACAATCGTCCTCGTCAGAGAGGAGAAAAGTCCGCGATGTGTCTTTTAGTTCGGTTTGCGATCCCTTTCTTTTTGAATCCGATATAGAGAGTAGAAATTCATGATATCGATCGAAATCGAGTCGAAGATTGCAAGGGACGAGGAGATGAGAAGAAGGCAAAATTTTGCGAGCTGATCCCCCCCCCCCCCCCC